TTTTTGAAATGCAAAAATCGCATTCTTCATGCGTGAGACATACAGGGTGTCCCAAAAAAATGTGAACACTGTTTGATCGTTAATAACTCCGTTGCTTTCATGTCTTTCGCCGAGCTTGAAGCACCATTCTGTAGAGCGAGGTTCAACTTAGATTTGCGGCATGGAGCGAATCACCGATCGCTCTTCATTACTGTAGGATTACGGTATGAACTTCTGGCATGTGGATCTATTGTGAGATATGCCATTTGACAAAATTTTTTTCAAAAAATCTGAAAAATCGTGTACTAAAGATTTCGCGCACGCTGATTCCATAACGCACCTTTTTACGAGTTTTTTTAGCTTTTTTGATGGTGTAATCACATTTTTGACAAATGCTGGAAATTCGGTTATTAAGGTTTACCTGGGATAACCTTAAAAGGAAGCGTCACAGTGAAGTGGAAATTTCATATTCGAACTCAGCGGCTTCCATTACCCATGTATAAAAGTTTTTGGCCTGTTTGGTTTTGTTCCGAGGCAGAATATGGCTTTTAACGGCTTAAAATCCTTGTCAAAGTTCCTACCGTAATCCTACAGTAATGAAGAGCGATCGACGACTCGCTCCATACTGTAGATCTAAGTTAGGCCTCGCTCTATAGAATGGTGCCTCAAGCTCGGCGGAAGACATAAAAGCAAAAGAGTTATTAACGATCAAACAGTGTTCACATTTTTTGGGACACTCTGTACATACATATGAGTTTGGAAAAAAGTCATAAAGAGTCATAAGAAAAAAGTCAAAGTCATAAGAAAAAAGCCATTTTCTTGAAAAAGTCATAAAGATTTTTTTCCGATAATTGAGTATCATTCTAATTGTAAGGACCGAGAAGAAGATTGCGGCATAGAACATAAAGTTTTTTTAATCTGACAACGTACATATATGATATCTATTTCGCACGAATCGTCTATGAACCATGATTATGCCATAAAGCGGCGCATCGTTATCCATTTGACACGTCAAAGTCATATCCCATATACTTATATACTGCTAACGCGGCTCTTATGAATATTCATTTCGAATCACTTTACCATGTAGAGGTGAAAATATTCGATCTCATTATTCTGCTTAATCTTCTTCTTACTCTGGACAATTCAGGAGGGGGAGGGGGAGGCGATGTTTGAGTCTCGCCTAATCCCTTCAGTCAGCATTTCCGCATCGAGGCCTTTATTTTTCTTCTAGTTATTTTGACAATGAGTGGCACTAAGCTGGTGCTTGCCATCTTCTTTCACAGCAAATAAGCAACAGGCTTATAGTTGGCTTAGTCTATATTCAACAATGAGCAATGCTAAATTGCCAAATTTAATGCCTGCCTTCAATTATTCAATTAGATTACATAAGCTGAGTGAAAGTTGAACTTTCTTTTCTCTATTCATGCAACACTTCGGAAATGTCAAATCTATCACAGATGGCAAAAGGTGCTGCAGCTTGCAAGAAAAGGAAACATTGGAAAACCAATAAGGATATTTCAACGCATATTTCTGAATTTGTACAGATACGAAGAGCTGCTAAAGTATGTGCTCAGTCATTACCATTTACTGATTGATGAATTCTCAGGATTATTTTTTTTCTCGCTGCTGTATTGGGCTTTTGATAGCTATCGAAAATCAGCAAACTTCGAAACTAGCTAGTTTTTTTCTGTAGATAATTTCGGCTATCCGTAAATGCAAAGGAAATTGCTTTCCTGTGATAACATGAAATCTCTACCTTCCATATATTCATCATATAGTTCTTATCAAATATTTCGCATACTTGAGTCTTGTCGTGAATTCAGAACATCTTTTTTCTGATGCAAATCATCTTCCATCAACACATCAGACTTTCCTTTTTTTTGCAGCTTGCTCAGAGATGCACGGATTAGGAAGAAATAAAAAGTCATGAGATGAAAGATGAAAATGCCTTTTAGTCGGTTGCTATCTGGATTAGCCGTTCAAGCTTTTCTCTATACTCTTAGCTTTTTTTTAGGAAGTTGGAGTGTTTCCATAGTCATTCTTACCTTTTAAGTAGCTTATCACCAGTATATGTGGAATGCGTGTTTTTCATAGTAGGTTACATCAACATCATATCCTATCTTGTCAATCTGATATTATCGAATCCAAGTGCATATAGACTAAACTAAGAGAACATTCGTGCCTGACACGAAATTTACGCTCCTAGACAAGGTTTGGCCGCAATTTCCGCATATTTCGATTCAGGGTGGGCTTTCGGAAGTGAATTTCGGTGATGTCACTCTAACGGAATTCTAAAGCATTTTTTTTCCAATGACAATCGAGTTCTCAACTTATTTCCTCCTATTTCACTATAGAGGTGATTTTTGCATACTGGTTCAAAGATTGAATAATTAAATGCACGAGCAAGCGACTTATCGAATCTCTTCGTCTCAGATTTCGCTCCCATATCCAGTATTTTACGATCAACTAATAAGTATCGGTTCAAGCTCAATCTTGAAATATAATTAAGTTATTTGTAAACTCAAATAATTAAATTATACGTTCTCTGGTAAAAATGAAATGAGCTAAGGATTAACTAAAAACTATGAACATAATTAATCCAAAGTGGGACTCCATTTTATCGTACAAAACCAGTTGATTACACATTCAACATTATATATTATCTCAGGTTGAACCAAGAGTTCGTTCGCACCATTTTCAAAAGTTCGTAACTTCTTTCTCTTACGATAATCCTGAACGACAAAAATAATATCAAGAAGAGCAAAGCGTATACTTTCCAAGGACATCTTGCTTGCTCTTCACTAAGCTTTGGTTGCGGAAAAAAACTGAGAAAAGGAAGACACTTCCTTCTGGGAATTTTGAGGCAAGCTCGTTAAAAATTAAAACTGTGCCTTAAAACTCAAGACAGGCAGTAAACTAAGTTTTCTGATCCCCTCTTTTTAGCTGAGCAAAATTCGCGCTGACCATGCTCTTCTTTGAAAAGTTGTGATTTTTTGAGAAGAATTTTCAAAAAGTCAGTTTCTTAAGAAAATTGTGGAGATAAATTGTGGAGTGCTTTTCATTATGTTGTATTTATACATCATAATGAAAAGTTCACTAGCTTAACTAATCTTTGTAAGCTTACAAAATTAAAAAATGAATATACATGATTCTAGGTCTTTCTTCCTTACTGAGGGGTTCCGGGGAAAACCTAGAACTCATTTTGAGGGAAAAAACGAAACCTAGTAATGGCGTCCTGTGCTCTCACGAAAATTTTAAAATTCTTTACTTATAGTTCAGACTACACTTTTCAACATTCTCATTCCAGTTTCATCAAATTTACATACTGAACATGCATGCTGCTGAACATGAACTCGTACGTTTGGCTCAAACTGAGAAGTGGTAATGTTTTGCAAAAACTCCCTTCACTCATTCTATAAGCTTTGGTTTGCTCTCTCCGTCATCAAGGCATCCATTCAATGGCTGAAACTAATAACTTGGGAATATTATAAGAGCGAAAGCCCTGCAGCGAAGCCCACCAATCACTCATGCGTGTAGACCCGGAGGAAGCGTAAAAAGCCTAGATGGATTATGCGGCAGCATCCGTCCTTACTTACTTTCGTAGAACTCTCTTTTGGTCCGACTTCAGCAAAGTTTTGTGGATACCAACTGCCTTGATTTCCCTCAAACTGCGCTTAGTATAAATCTACAGAGTTAATGATTTATTTGAGAACGTTTATGATGTCATTTCATGACTTCAATGGATCTAATGGCGCCCAATAATTTTCATTGGTAGATATCATATTTCTGGTTGCGAACAAAGTCAAAAAATCACTTAGTTATTTTTTTCAAAGCCACTGCCTTGGGCACAGCTATAAAACATTTCACCAAATTCTTACATGAAAAGACTTCAACAAACTTTGCTCTCCAAATGTACTAAAAATCCCTAGAGATGAACTAAGATTCTATGGAGGTTACCCGAACTTCTTGCACTTTCAACACGAGTCCTATCACTTTCAACACATTTCTCAAGAGATTTTTGTCTATTTAAAAAGTTTGACACAGAAGCGAGTGCAAGGCAGTGCTAATGCAGAGTATTGAAGTTTTTCTTCGTAAATTTTCTCACGCGGGCAGCGCTCATCCGGCCAAATTTGCGCAAACATTCGACACTTTTCTCAGGGCAAAAAATGGAATCATCCAGAGAAATTGCTCGGCAAAACATCATCTAGCTGTTGTTTGTGCATTGGATTTTCAGTTGATCGTGTGGAATCCCTGGGGACAAAATGTTGAGCCATGAAGGAAGCGGCACCATTTCCGTGTGTGTGCGTGGTGCCCTCGCACGTGTTCACGGCCAGAAAAACGCCTTAACCTCGGTTGTTTGGAAGGGGCGGGGGGGGGGGAATGTTGTCGAAGTACATTTTGTGGGTCTTGTGGGAAGCTGATCAGTATGGCGGTCACGTCTAGACCAGCGAACTCTTCAAAGCCTTCATAAGCTGCCTATTTGAGCATCCAATTTTCAATATTTGCTTACTCACTCTTCTCCAATATTTGCTTTGAACAGGGTTTTAACACTATACCACGCAAATCTCGCAATATTCTCTTCTAGTAATATACCAAATTATCCTTGCTATTTCTTTTTTCTCACACTACCCACACTATCTGTCTCCCTGTCTTATACATTAACATCATCATAAGAAATGCTCGTCTAATTCACGGCTTGGCACGAGGTGGCTTTCCGAAATGCAAAAAAACAAACTCCCGCTGACTTTCGCAAAATTTTACGAAGACCCTTTGACCCCTATCCGAAATATCCGGCTCGAAAAGAATCAATCGACAAAAAAAAATCAATCTCCGACCCACAGAAACGATATTTTCTTTGCTTTTAGTCCCAAAAACGATATCCAACTTGCTTATAAGCCACCTGTGCTGAGCCCTAGTGTAATATCCCCTCTATTACATACTTTTTCGCTTCCTCGTTTTTTTTTCGACGAACAATTGCCATCTCAAAGTGAGGTTCTCACCTATGACATTTACATTTTTTTGCTTTGCTAAACCACATTCCAGAGTTCCTTCAAAATCCATTTACTAATGGAGACTTCTTATTCACACTGAAATGTATATATTGTTGATTTTTTATTCTATTCATTCAATAACAGCTTCATCAACTACGAAGCTTACATCTACACAGGTACGTTGTAGTTTGAAAGCTGCTAAATTATGCAAGCATGGCTTTTTGTTGCCTTACATCAAACTTGCTGAAATCTCACAGATTCTGAGAGTTTTAAGACAGATAAAAACCTGAACAATAGCGAGGCTTTGTTAGAAATGCTGAACATTGAAACAGCAAAATTGCATTGCTATAACCTCATGTGCTTTCCTGTTTTCACCTTTTTCTTATGTTGAACAGGCAAGTTGCCATTATTCAGTTTCTTTATATGCTTTCTTTCCACAACATAAATGAAGTGGTCCCTACCAAGCGTAAAATTTTTTTTGTTTATAATACTTCGATGCTACTAATCATTTTTTTGCACTGTTGCGCTTGTGGCGCTTCTCTTCCGCAAATAACAAGCTCCAATAACAACGTCCCTCAATTACGTTATTTTTTTTTTCGTTGCGTCGCTATAAATAACAAGAGTGAATCGATAAAAAAGCGTTCAACTAGAAAAATACATTGATATGCAATATCCATCTATTCTGAGATGAAACATGTGAAAGCTTTGATGGTGTATGTCGCAAACATTTGCTAATGCGTTCTGATCAGAAAATGATGATTCATTTTGTTGGGACGATATCATAAAGATCAAATTTTTAGCGAATTTGTCTGCTAGGAGTAAGTGCTGCATGCGTTTATTGAATTTCCACTAGTACGCCTGCAAAATTACTTTTAAAAATCGAAATTTGGAGGAATAGCAAGTGCAATCACATCGCCTGAAGTGCAATAGAATTTTCTATCGTAAATCCAGCAAACTTTCAAACTACGTCTCTATCAGGCCACCCAATTCTGTTTCGAGTTTCAGTTAGATTATTCGGACAGGCCTACGCTACGAATTTCACTTGCCACACTAATCGAAAATCCCTTTGCCACAGCAGCAATTTCCCTTTGATAGCCCCTCGTCGTAATTGTGAATGATCGCTCACCGCGTAGATTAAATAAAATGTGTCAGTATAAATTAGTGTTTTTGGCAGCGGAGTGGATTTGAAAGAATTTCAGGACGAGGTTGGGATAAAAATTTGAAAAAAAATTGAAAATTATGCCGTAGTACCGGAGCAACATTCTCCTCAACATGGAGTTCTGTTTGTATGATTGCACAGTCCAGTTCGCAAACGTTTGTTTTGAACGCAGATCGATGTGGTTTTTTTATCACTTGTACTTTTTTTAATCACAGAAGATGATTTGACTTATTTATAATGAGTCTTTGTGGGTTTTGCCCAGTTCTCAGCTGATTATGCGTAATAATTATTCATGGATCTTCTCGGTTGAGCTCTTATGAATAGTAAAAGGCCATTGAAAACAAAACAAGGGTGTGAGCGCGGATAGAGTGCTATGGTTAGGGTCTTACAGCGTCAAAAGGAAGTGAAAATATGGTAAATTGATGTATTTTTACGGAAGATCAAGTCGAGTTGTACCACAAAAAACTGCAAAGAAAGAAGCACTTCTGAAATTAGCACAGACTTGTTTTATGAGATTGTTAATTTCTTTCAAAGAGAGCTCATAAATATTAAGCAAAGCATATTGAAATGTGAAGGAACCTACTATCATTTTAGGCGCAGCACACATGGGATCTATTCAAATTACACAACGTTCATATCCTTTTCGAAACAGCTTTTCCTCGACCGGGATTCATATTTCGAACAATATCAGACGAAGGGAAGCATCTTGTTGACCTACTTCTGTTACCCAGCAATAGAGTAAGCACTTCTTTTGTTCATTTGAAAATCGTTAACTTTGAGCACAAATTTTAGATTTCTCTAACGTTACCGCTAAAATCTGGATGGACGCGGCGCTACACGATACCATTGCCTCAGGATCAAGATAAATTATCGTTACTTGTCACTCTTGAGAAGAAACATGTTTCGGTAGTGGTGAATTGCTTGCTTTCAATGACGGAAGCAATCGAGGACGTGGGCTTTCCGTAAGTTTTCTTGCTAATTGTCAAAGCGGCCATTTTGGAAATGGTAACACGTTTATGCAAACTCTCCTGGACACGCAGAAATTATTTTAATCTTTCATGTTCTCGTGATTCTCCGCTGGCTTTCCTATCCATATTTCGAGTGAAACTTCAGTCCACATTGCGGCTGATATAAAAAACGGTAGTTTCCGAACGTGACGCACTTACTGCTTTTTTAAGCGCCCTTTTTGAAATAAAATAAGTGAGGCAATTACTGCAGCGCGACCATTTATCATTTTCGGATTACGGTAAGTTTTGATGTAAGAAAAAGTTTGGGAACAGCCCTGTGGACAGCTTGAAATATTAGCACAAGATATAAGATTAAACTTTCCTCTCCTGAATGAGATCACTGATTTTTTCTAGGATTAATTAGTGGCCTTGTTCTAATCAAAGAATGTGAAATTTATGTTGAACATGCTTATCGACAACTGTTGTGCATACGTGAGATAAAAATTGGGTTGAGGTTTGAAGGACAAAGGTGGCTCAGATAATAGAATTAATAATTTCCTAGAATCTGCATGCGCTTGGAAAAACTGGTAGGAAAATTTCTGACTTTTTCTATTTTTCGATTTTATTAACCTTGATGTCGCTACTAACTTCATTGTTGTTGATGTGTTTGTATTTACTAATATTGTGGCGCGTTTTTGAGTGTACCAAATAAAACAAAATAAAAAAATTCCCCCTAGAGACAAATTCTCACATTTTGTGACTGCGAGTGCTTTATTTTTATAGTCTCCGTAATGCAGTGATTTAGCAATATATCTCAAGAAAAAGAGAGATTGATGTGGAAACACTTTTTTGCACGAAAATTATGTGTTGCTATCTGACAGAGCTTATCTCCAGAGGAATATCGCCGACAATGCTTGTTACGAATCGACACGATACACTGCGGATTGATTCTGGAAATCCGACAAGAGACATATGCCCAGAATTGCATAGTTCCCTTGGGAACGTTGAAATTGAAAATTCTGAAGGTCTTCGCGAAGACGCGGTGAGCAAATTTTGTGATATTCTTTGTTATTATGTTCAAATAAGCAGTTTTAGGGGACTAGGAACGTCTCTACCGGCTCGCGAAGGGCTTACAAAAGCGTAAGAAGATTCTATCAGATTAACCTTCTCTATCGTATTGCTAAGCTGATAATGAAATTAAAGGAATGAAGTTTAGTGCCTGTACAATGGTCGCCGGAGAGGGCATACGGAGGCCTTCTGGCCAGAACAGTGCGTTCGTTGTTATTGTGACGATGGCACGACGACTTGTCAGTATCAGTAAGTTCGCAACCAACTCGTTTAATCTTTCAATATTACTGTAGATTAACAAAACTAACCTTCAAACAGAACTGACACATTCAAGATTCTTGTCGGAAAACGAAGTAATGGATCTGTGCGGATATAGAAATAATGTCACGATATATTGATATCCTAACACGAAGTTAAAGGCTATTCCTAGACTAAAGCGGATTGTTAATGTCGCAAAGTGGGCGCAACGCAGAAGTCGAGCATATCGTCGCTGGAGTCTTGGATGCACATAGAGACCTATAACCGTTGCTGCACCGCGTGCGCGTCTGATTCCCTCATACGCGTATTTGCCTTGGTTTGGGACTAGCCTTTAGGTTACTTCCCACTACAGAAACTAAGTATATTTGTGTTTTCAATTCGTAAGCGTACAGTCTAGTACGACTACTCATATTTGGACTGCAGCATGGCGAAGGCGCAATATCTTTGGGCGCGAATGCGGCTTTATTAGCCGCAGAACGCATAAAGCGCAGGATTCAGAACGATGAGAATACGCACGCGCAGCGTTTGCGCCCGCTAAACTAATACTGCTTCTGCGCCTTCGTCATGCATAGCCTTTACATACCATAAGTTATTATTTATTAGAACTTTACTGGAGTAAAGAGCTTAGTACTACCTTCAAATAGTGAGAAAAGTTTACATATGAATTTACTTTTTCAGAAATCCCGTCACATGTCCCAAATTGACATGTTCGGCTGAGCATCGGATAACACCAGAAAATGGATGTTGTCCCGTTTGTGTTGGAGCAGATTTTTGTGCTGAAGCACCATGCCATCGTGACGCTGAATGCGTGAATCAGGCAAATGGTGCTCAATGCAAATGCAAGGAGGTGAACTTCTTTTTTCTAACCTCAAAAGTCCCATTTACTACTCTGATAATGTTGATTTGCAGGGATTCTATGGAGACGGATATACTTGCTATGATATCGATGAGTGCTCATTCGATAATTCTGCGAGAGAACAGGTAAGTATAAACGTAGATTCATATATGATCAAGGTTCGGAACGAGCTGGCGCCAGAGAAATTTCATAACGAAGTCCCCTTTGACCCTAAATCCTAAACGTAAAGACCTCAAAAAAGTCGACTAAAAAAACGTAACAATTTTTGTGTCTTCTCGGCCACAAAAACGATATCCACTTTGTTTTCTGTCCCAAAAACAAATATGCAACTTGACCTGCCAGCTGTGCCGAGCCCTGTATAGGATACTGTAAAAACTGGAGGCTTGCCTCCCCAGCAAGGTTACATTTCACGCTGCTATGAAATTTTTCTTATGATGAAAAATGCTTAATGGTTTATCAAAAGACTGCATTGTCCTTTGCATCGTTACAGTATGATACCATAACTGCAATATGTGATACGATGCACTTTCACGATGTCAAATGCAGAAAATACCGTTTTCGCATAAAATCCATGAAACAAAAGGTTTCATGATCAAAAAATGCATTTCAACACCCAACACCTAAACATGATACTATTTATTTCAGCTAGGTGGATGCTCAACAGGATCGATTTGCATAAATGAGCCAGGCAGTTTTCGCTGTGAATGTTTACCGAATCATCAGAAAATCGACAGTAGGAATTGCGTCGAACTACTTCGCGTCTGAGTTCACCATTTGTAACTCTGCCTCATTTTAATGTCGGGATTGTGTTCTTGTAAATAAGAGACTATTGTATGAATATTTGCGAACTTGCTAGTGTTTACAATTTCTAAGTGTTGGCATAATACATAGCATTGGCGAGTATTGACGACACTTGAGCATTTGACATTTTCTAAGAGATTAGTTCAAAAGATGCTAGTTCTCGATTACGGAATTCTAAGAATTTGGCAGAATCAATGCTCCTTACACCATTTGCATTTCATTTCACAACATCCGTATCACAAACAGTCTCAAACCCTTTCATTCCTTAAATCTCATAAAAGTGAAAGTCGAGCTACAAAAATAATTGTATTCAGATAGGAGATGAGACCTGATATCAAAACTGTGCACCCTGGAACATAAAGGGTTCAGCTGCTTTCAATTGAACAATCACAAATAATCTAAGGCAATGAAACTAATGTGAGAATATCACCGAGATTACCATTGATAAAAATCATATAATTTCAACTGATATTGGCTGTCATGTTGATGAATGAACAATAACAGCATTGATCGTGAAATTCAGCAGTGTGAGCACATTGAGGAAAGCGCGATAAGCATTAGCTAAGATAAGAATGAACACGTATGGGTTAATGTAGTGTTGAGCCTATGTACAGACAAAACTATGTCCTTAATATATATCATGCTTGCAAGACTAGTGGATTCGAAAACCTGTCAAAAAATTGCGATAAAAAAATGGCCACTCGCACAAGCCGAAACAAAAAGGCGATTTTTGAGCCTATGCGCCGGCTTTGATGTTGACAAGAGAAAACCCCGCGATGATGAACGTCAGATTTTACAAAGCTCATTCTGGGAGCTGTCATGAAAGTTCGAACAGGGATTTGCAAAGTTACAGCTAATTTGGCAAGTACGCGGGTACAAATAAGAGAATCCTACCAATGTGAGCAATAATCGATCAAATCCCTAAAAATTCTAAAACACTATATTTGGACAAGTAGAAATACCACGCGCTATTGAGTGAAAGTGACACATTCATATGTTGTCGAAATCTTCATCGGCAACGGCTATTGGAGGAGCATTCATTAGCTCGGACACATCGAAACTGCAGTCATCATCAGAAACCGTCAACGTGTCAAGGGTCTGGAACAAAACTGAGATTTACATGTAGCTTACTGTATCGTTATTCTCACTGTTTTCGAAGGCAACGGTGCCGTCTTCAGCTTGTGCTTTGGTTTTGCAACGAATAAATCCATATCTTCTTCTTCGCCAAGCGAACGCTCGTCAGACGACTCCTTAAGCGAAAGAACTTATAAATTGGAGACGACCACGTTTCATAAAATGGATGTATAGGGTACCGGCCCTGGAAGCTCAAAATCAGGCCCAGAAACTACGGACCAGAACTATTCACTATTTAACAAAACGAACTCTTCTCTGTGAGGAAAATACCACCATCAATTCTGGACAAACAGAGGAAACAGAACCTACCTTATAAACATCGTCCCCATTCACAGCTCGCTCAAAGTGTCGAAGCTGCCCAGTACTCGTAGTGACGGGAGGAATTTCTTCATCGCAAGGCACTCTAAAATTATCATGATTAGCAACGAATTACAAATCAAATATATACATACTCTACATTCATTTTTGGGACAATTGCCGCCAGCACCCGCTTTTTCCCTAGGTCACCTCGTCGCTTTTTGTAGACCTAAAAATATCGCTAAAAGTCCATCCAAACACCAAATGAACCACATACATGTCGCTTTGAATCACGAATCTTGCTGTCGCTTTCGTCGTCACCAGAGCAAGCGGAATTCTGCGCATCGCTCGAAGAGGACATGCCATCTGTAAATATATGAAGGTGAACTACCTGGTGGTCTAAGAAACTTATCAAAGGATATATGCATTAAGGGGTTGCTAAATGTGGTAACCATTTTGGAACATAACTGTGCGCGTAAAGCACATTTTAAGCGCGGCTGCAATTTCTGCTCCTGTTCAACTTTATGCAAATAATCTAGCACTAACACTGTAAAGAAAACGCTACTAGGCTTCTTTAGCACATCCTCTAGAACACGATGTAGACACCTTCATTATGATAAAAAATTTTGTAATAGACCAACACGGTGTCTAATGTTGTGTCGGAAGTTTTCACCTGATAATCATTTGGGTATCACGGAACGTATTACGGAACAAGCTCCCACCCTGCTTTCTAGAAAGTCGGGACCATCCCATTTCCAGAGATAATAAATGTAAGATTATACTACGTTAAGAAGAGCAGTACGACCAATACGCGTTGGAAACAATACATAACAGTGCAAAGTAGGCACGGAACGCTTTGTGGAGCGCAGTGTTTAGAGTTGGAGCGCAAAAGCGCAGTGTTTCTCTTTTGTAAAAGCTTCTTCTGTCCCATATTAATCTTTACATCTGCAAGAAGTTACACATCTACTTTCTAGATATAATAAAAGCTTACATAATGCTTATAACTTATAACTTGCGCTCCAGTGCTAAAAGAAGCTTTGAATTTGAAGCTAGTATGGCTCGCAAAAGGAACTCAGAACTTCGCACATCATCACAAATGATGCTTTTTTTGGCATAGTGTTGCTTGTGATGAAGCTTTGAGTTGCGACATCTCATAAAAATTCGTCGACAGGCTATCAAAATCTAACCCATTCCATACAAGTTTAACCTCTCATAAATTTTCAGGATAAATAGCTTGTGATGATCTATACGGACAAGATTATGGTAGTTTTGTTCCCTTGGAAAGTCGGTGTCTACAGATTTGCAGCTTGAAGTTCCCTCCATTCCTAAACTGTCTAGGTAGGTCCGAAGCAAATTTTGACTGCTTGAGCGGTAAAAATTCCACACCATTACTGACCAAGGCTCGGCACGAGGTGGCTTTCCGAAAATGCGGAAAACAAAGTTCCCCCTGACCTCCTCTGCTTTTTGTCCCAAAAACGCCCAAAAACGAAACCCAGCTTGCTTTCAAGCCACCTGTGCCAAGCCCTGTTACTGACACTGCGACTGCGAGAAATTCAAACGACGAACCTTTGAACAGCTTCCTGCATTCCGCCATATGCTTATCAGAAACACAAGTTTTTGCAATCTGATACGTGTGTGTAAGAGAACTCTGCGACTTGAAAAGATTGGAAAACAAGAAGTTGAGACGTTCCCTTTCGAAACGATCCGTCTACAAACAATCTTCATTCGATTTCCCTATAAAAAGGAATCTGATGAAAAAATTTAACTTACGACTCGCTTGAACAGCTGCGTGTCATCTGGGATGTGAACACCGTTCTGAAAAGCCGAATGACGACGGTCAAACGCTAACAATGCTCGTGAAATGCGATAGGAAACAATGTCACAAGGCATCTCAATATCAGCAACGGCAGTTACGGTCTGAAAAGTTGTGGCTGATGTTTTTTCGAATTGTAAGGACGAGTTTGCCTGTGATGACATTATTTTGGGATCATTCTATGCCCATGAGTGAGATCAACAGACTCACTAGATATTAGACTGAAACATAAGTTTTGCACTAAAAAAGACAAAAAAAATTGTTTTGAAAAGGTTCAAACCTTTTCAAATACATACATCATTTACTTTATGTGACATACATCAAAACTTGTATCTTATCGTGAATATTAGAGATTCTTCAAACTGAAAACAGAAGCTTGAATAAAAAACTTGAAAATCACAACTAATTAAACAAGCGACAAAAAATGCATGTCATGCAATCATAAGCAAAACTAAAATGAAGATTTTGGTAGATGCGATAATTGCAATAATTTGCATAAATTTTAGCAAGCAAAATTCAAAAAAACCCGTTTTGAGTATTCCTTATCGGCTTGTACATCACGAAGGGGGAAAAATATATTCTTATTATATACTTTGGTATGTAGAAGATAATTAGATTTCTCCACCTAATATGTAGCAAAGCAGAAGATTTTATTGAATTTGTGAAAGATTATGGCTTTTCCAGTTTTTGGTGCAAATTCTTATGCATCAACCTATTGGCAGGGGCTGACCGAGGGAGGAGGTGAAGGCAAATTTCCTTCAACAGGATAAGCGAAGCTTTTAAAAGTGGCCCACTGGTTCCAAGACCATGCAGTACTTATGCCTGTGGATAATTAGATAGCCTTCGATAAAAAAATCAAATCACCAAAAAGAAACATCCTTCCTCCTGCACTCTCCTCTTTCGGTTTCGATGCTACAAGACTGCGAGAACGAGACAACACCAAAGCATTTCGCCCCTCACACCCCTCCTCACAAAGAACCTGGGCCCCCTTCCGCGAGATAGCGAATAATGACATCACAAAAGTACAACACCTCTACAGCTTAGTGCATTACCTGCCAATCAGTGGCGTTAAGATTAACGTGAACCATGACATCCTCGCTGTCAGACGAGCGACGTTCAGATGACTAAATATTAGTTTTGAGGGCATTTCAAATTCACCCATCGAACGGACCTCCTCTTTGTCAACGCCAGCCGCAAATTCTCTCACAGCCGCGCTTAGTAGTTCAGGTCGCTGTCGAGCGATGTAGGCTAGCTCCGCTGGGAGATTGACACTTGTCCTTTGCATTCCAAAATTTCGAGCAGCAGCTATCATTAGCCTCTGAGTAAACGGAGAGCATGAATTTAACAAACTGTATTGATTTTTTTTTCCATTTTCGCGAAAATTGCACCATCACATTTGAGTCCCCATGAAAGATACATATAAATACCTGCTTCACAGCCTCCGTCACTAGAATGTTGCGGGATTCACGTGGATGAGTCCTCACAATTTCAATGTCAGACAAATTAGGATATTTATCGTTCACTTCCGGAGAGACAACGTGAAGAACACCAGCGAATCCATAAACCTTCAAATAAAATTGGGAATCACCAATCGATGAATCGAATTGCTTGCTAATGATAACCATATTATGCTCGCTCGGTGATGAGTGTACTTTCAACAGAAAAAGTATATTCGAGCGAATGACATTTTCGAAATTCCGCGAAACTAACATCAAAAATGCTGGATGGATCAAATTAATGGTGGGTCATCAAAGTAACTTTCTTTGAGAGTACAAAAAATGCATTCAGACAATTGTGTGCATACTAAAGCTAATCGTTGTTACAAACCTATTCTATACAACGCTGAGAACAACATGAATCCCGATTTGGTTGTAGCAATAGCTAGACTATAGCTGGACGGTAAAATTGTGTATATATTGGGTTGTTACACCAAGTTTTATTACACTTGACGGGGAAAATCTTCACGACTTCCTCAAAAATTTTCCCTTGTTTCTAGATTATGCGGAATGTCGTGGATTTCCGATATACACAACTCCCACATGAGAAATACACTTTTTCAAACTTTTTGCAATGGTTCAAATTATTTTTGATAAATCTCCACTTCGCGTTATTGGAAAGCTTGACTTCCGAATTGCAAAATAATGGAAAAATTGGAGAATGATGTGCCGTTAATGAATTGCACTTATGTTACCAATGGAGGGCCCTTTAGAGTTCTTCAGAGGATGACGATGAAAGTGTTAAAACTTACATACAACTTAGCAGTGACAAAAATTTGAAAAGACAGTTCGTAGAGTGTGCTTTCTAACTCAAGAGAAAAGTCTTCCCAGAATCTTTTTTTGAGGGCATATAAGGGCGTCATTGATACAATGGTCCATAACACTTCTCTTTCGCCTCGATACAGAATTTTGCCCATCATACCGCACGACTGGGCAAAACTATATAAATCATATTTTGGGAGCTCGATTCACAATAGTAAATCTGTTCATATATATTATATGAAATGGACACAGCCAACAGTTCTCGTTAATTTAATTAAATAAATCCCGAATTTTCTGAACCGTTGCAATAAGCACTAATACAGAAGATGCATCCAGTCTGACCAAGCTAGCGGACAATGCAAAGAACGGCGATAAGGACTAAGGATGACCAACCCTGCGGGTAAAATCCTCAGCCTTGGAAACCCATTTCGGGAGCACTTCATTTCGCTCTGCTTCACGATAAAAAAGATTATCGCTTTCATTAGTTGTGGCGATCCTGAAAAAAACTTGCTCAGAAATAGGATGTGGTTAGCTATAAAAGATCTTTAGAAACAAATTGATTACAAAAAAATAAGTTTTATCATGAGGACTATAGCTATATCAGAATGTTGGGATGGATCACCAAAAACAACCGTACCGATGATGGTACGGTATAAATCACAAATTCTACCTGAGTGGATTCCAAAATTTCCCGTTGCCTTCAAACACGAAGAAAAATTAGTTTAACAACGTTTTACGTCAGTAGTGAAAACCGTATCCACCTCCTGCAGCGATTTTTAGTGCCCCAAACTGGGGTTTTGGCTCAAGAGCATACGAATCCAAAGTGCAGATAACCTAAGTGTCGACTTGAAAATTGGAAAAAAAAACAAAATCTTTTACTTCCGCAAGCACTGTGGCGCCCGGATATACTATACTAAATCTGTGACCCGTCCGGCATGGAGATATGGCAAGATGGGGGAGGGGGGGGGGGGGCTGGGGGAGAATGAACTGTAGAAAAGATGGGTAATGGATAAGACTTCGATAACAGAAAGTCGAGTTCGCATGTAGCTTTCTGAATTTCAGTCTTAATGAAACAGTTTGGAAAACCAAACATTGGTCACTGAGTCTGTATAAACTGCTGTGTTGTCTACACTAAATTAGCAAATTCAGTCGCCCTTGGTTTCCCTATGCATAGAATTTAGCAAGTCGCACCGGATTCGGCAAGATCTTAGGGAAGGATGTGTATAGTGTCTTCCACCAAAACCACTTCATTGGAGAAAAAAATGTATCGTATTGTTCGAGGACACCTAGAAATTGATGAAAATTATTTCTTAGGACTGATGAAAAATTCTCCCCAGTGAGGAGAAAAATTGTCGTCACTAGAGAGAGTTTGGTCGAGATGCGCTAAGCAAACCAGTCAGTAGGCGTGGCACCGACCATCTGATCTGTTCGAAAAAATGGCAATTCATCGCACGCAGAGACAGGTCGCGCTGCGAACGGTGCCGGCGTCTCGTTACTGTCGGCGTCTAGCATCAAACCACTTCAATTTCTCCAACGCATAGTGTCTCTCCCAAAAAAACACAAAACACGCACTATCTTCAACGATATTTCTCGTTTTAGAGTCACCCCATTCAAAAAAGTGAAAATACTCTGAAATTAAGCATCCAAATAACGCTCTTCTGCATCTTTGGCGAGTTAGAACTTGGAGGGATAAGTCAACTTCGTGATCATGGAAAAAAAACTTGAAATCGCTCGAGAGCAGTTATATTGTTGAAGCTAGTATTGCCAGCACTGAACTCGTTGATTTCTTGCTTTTTACACCAAGAAGCTACGATAGAACCGACATGGTATTACAAGGACCTTCAAAACTTCTGGCCTTTTTCGAGAATTTAACTGTTTGAATCTGCCCGGAAAGCGAATAGATGGGATAGTCCAGCTTGAAACATGTGTATGTCAGCAATAAGAATCAATAATTGATGTTTATCATTTTCGCACTTTCGTTTGTGAAAAAACTGATACGCATAAAAGTATGAAATTATAGTTACAGCTATGTCACAGCTAAAAAAGGGGGAGAAAATAAAGTGCTTCGTTGAAAGCGCAAACGCACGGGCAAGAGAATGAGCTAAACGATTTTACAGATGCATTTAGTATGTAAATAAGGACCACGTGCACCACTTCTGCAAGCAAATAACAGCGGAACGAGGAGTTTACAAAATTCAAAGATAATCTCTAGATGCACGGAAGATAATGAAACAACCAACTGGGTTGATCACTTTAGAAGGAGGTACTGAGATGGTAAAGAAGCTGTGCGTAGTATTTGCCGTCGCATCTCAAGTAGGGAGGCGAAAATCAGCGGCTAAAACTCGTCCCCTTATGATTCATAACCCTTGTAGTAAAACCGGTTACTTTAGAAATTCAGCAGCTTATGACTGTCATGGGTGGGACGTCCCCCTCCCCCCCCCCCCCCCATCGCGTGCAAAACGGAAGAATTGCATTAGTAGAAGACAAGACCACTATGCGTGAGAGGGTTTAAAAAGCTAAATATGCACAAAGCGATAACTTTTACAGAACAATAGTGATTTTGTCGAGAAAAAAACTTCCGAGAAAGATACAATACTGGTTTTGCTTGGAAAAAACTTCCGAGAAAAAGAAAGCTGCTTATGAATGTCGTACTCTGGAGAAAAAACGGAAAATAAAAACCTGCAACGAAAGTGGCGCGTTGGAATTGTGTTTTTCATTTGATTCCTAAACTTGCACGAAATATAGAAGATAATATCTTTAAGAAGCCTTCAAGAATAGTTCCTATGCATCCAGCTCCATTATTTTGACAAGTGATAAATTTAGCAGCAGGACTGAGGACAAAAGAAAGGCGATTAACTTAGTCTAGTAGATGAAGAAAATATGTAAATTTTGTGTTTGGAAAGAACACCCATCTCGCTGCTGAGACATGATGTACACACAAATGCAAATGTAACATGTTAGAGGAGGTCCAGTCAGTTTAATTCACTGCGAATGTTACCAAAGCGCTAAAGTTATCAAATCTGAGCAACATAGTATGCAGTAGATTAGCAAAAATATATGATGGAAAGTAACTGATAGCTATATAAGAATGGAGACTTTTCAATTACCTCGAGCAAGATATAGACGCGAAATTTGATAACTCAGCTGGATGAGAAGGGAAAATATACAGATTCAAATAAAATGAGTGACTTACCGAAAAACGAGGCCTTCAAATTCCGTGCTCATTTTGAACAATATGTCGATAATTTTCCACAAATCATCTGGTCTTGTCGTCAAGGGCGTCTCACCCTGTAGTGGAATTCCGCTGTAGCCTAAAGGTTCCAACAGAAAATAGGGGCAAGCGATACAGATGATAGTGACAGACCGTGAGGCGACAGTATGATTCCTCGTTCGTCGAATACATAGTCCTTGATCTCTTCAATTATAGCTTCGATTATCTCGTTATTGCTATGTGTGCTTCCTCCTCGATAAAGGTAATAGTAGAGGAATTGTTCTACCATTACCTAAAGCGGAAATTATGCTGAGGCAAGACTGCGGGATGAGAAATGGTAAGCGAAGTTTAAGTAGGCATAGAATGAGATTCGACTACAACTCAGCAAAGCTAAACAAATAAGCAGGTGCCGGTCATTTGAGAGCTTCTCTACGGACTCTTTTCAAAGATAACGCAGACGGAAAACAAATGATGACTTTTCGGAGAACGCAAAACGAATTTAAAAACATGTACACAACCAGCTGTATTGTTGGCACTGGCCCGCACGAATTGAATCATAAACTATAGAGAGCCATGAAGTAAGCAGCTTCCAAAGAAAAACTAGATGAGTTGTAGCAGAAATTTTAGAGCGATGTTAAGCTGATTTCTGTTCGAAAGCAGCAGTGTTTGTCTTGGTAAAAAAAGAAAAGGAATGAAGAGCAGTGCAACTGAGTGAACAGAGACATCTCAACAGCCTCGATGATTACAAGGATGAGAGTACGTGCAGTTCCAAGTCACACAGTTGCAATGTTATCTCTCCTGTGTATAACTCAACATCAATTAAGAAAACGCAAGTGATACGACAACAAAGAAATTTCTGCCAGGATCAGCTGTCTCTTTCAATTACACAAATATTTTGGGATTGTCGACTTAAGACTGCCTGACAATGCAAGGCCGCTGTAAACAATCTGATGTCTCTACAAAGATATAACACAAGTCAATGTTGTCGCAATCTCTACAACGAGAGCAATGTAAATGATCAGTGGAAAAGAGGAGTATTATCGGACTCTCTACGATAATATCGATAAGAAGCTACTGAGGAAGCATTGGAAAGAAGATTGGGCAGTGCCATATGTAAATCTACGTGGAAGTAAAACAATGTAGACATTTGAGCCGATTTTCTGACTACGGCAGCCAAACGACGCAAGGTCTTTGTTGCAAGCAAAAAGCGATTCGAGAACAAGCGAGATGTTTGAGCAAGACAATGCAATGTTAGAAGGGAATCTACGTTTCGATTTCTGTCAAGGCACAAGCGCTCAGCTGACTTTAGCAGAAAAAAGGAGGTAAGTAGGGGGAATGGTAAAGACTTAGGAACCGGTCATACTATTCCTGTGATTCCTGCAATTCCTGCGAGTCCCGTAACAATGTATATTGGGAAAACAGTGTATACTGAGACTCGCAAAGCTCCGTAGTGCGGCACTTCGGAAGTCGAGGAATCACAAGAATTGCAGGAATCACCTGGAAAGTATGGCCGGTCTCTTATAGTAGAGCAGATGAAAGGGAAAACAGCGAGAACAGGAATGGTGGAAGCAGTGGGAGCCGTGGCGGGTGATCGTTGATGTGAGGGTTGACAAGTCGAGGTGCGAGTGGACGGAGGGCGGGTGGCCAGCCTCGGGGATCGGGTACTGCACTCGGGCGGGGAGCCAGCAGTGGGGTGCCCTCCTCTTCTTCCTCACACTCACGGCGTGCGCTGCCTCGGCTGCAGCTAATATCGATCGCTGACGAGACGAGACGAGCGGACAGAGTCAGAGAGAGAAATTGTAGGGAAAAAGATGGTGTGTTGAGCAGTGCGCGCGATGCATCGGCTTGTCTGATCAGCCCTCTTCCCTCCCTCTCTCTCTTTTCCTCCTGATCGTACTTTTTCTCGACTCCTGACCACTCGGCTCGCCACGATTGACGTCCTGAACGCACGGCATGGAGATCGAGAACATCGTCGCGAACACTGTTTATATAAAGGCCAGAGAGAGTGAGTTATCCATCGCACTTACTATCCATGTTTGTGTCCTTTCCTGTGCTGTGTAACCCGCGTGTCTGTCACTTGTAGAAGACCTCCTTGTTTGTGTTCTCCATTGCCAGTATACAGCACTTTCCACTCTCCTCATACGTAAACTTCCTCAGTGTTTTGCAGGTGGCGGGCAGAAGAAGGGTAAGAGCAAGAAGTGGAAAAATTATCTGCAGTTTCCTCACTACACTGAATGTCTGCCCTTACGCTCTGAAATCGATGTCAGGTAAAGTCTTCAACTGTTCTTTGTCTGTGTGAAGTTTCGTCCATCGTCTTGGTATCGTTGCATATGTGTTTGCGTTTTTGAAGCCCTTTTCCATTTACATTCTTGCGCTTCGAGTAAAGGCTATCATTCATTCTGTGACTAGGAGCTTTGAAACAGCGTTGCACACAGGGTCTAAACTAACTTCACATTGTTCTTTTCTGTTTCCACGTAGCAAGTAATCTCTAAAAGTTTACAAGTATAAACCTGTCAACCATACAATCAAGCTTGTTTCGACAATTTGTTCAAAGCGGTTTCGATTCTCTTATGGTTAGTCACTGAATGAATGATATGTGCCGGCGTTCATTCCTATGCAACTTTCGTCATTATTACATTTGCGCAACGTGCTTTGAAGTCAATCAATCTCCTTGCTATGTTTATGATCTTGTCATGTCGTAGATGACAGTAGAAAATGCAGCTAATAAGTCGCTGTTCCGCCGTGCAGTGCGATATTTTTGCGCCTTTCATGATGACATCGTCCTTGACCTTTATGCATGAACTATCTGTAGAAACGTGCTTTCATGTATCCACATGTCTCATACTTTGTGGCAACATTCGCAACTGAAATTTTGATGTAAAACTGCTCTTTTCGCAGTCATATAGATGAATTGCAGCTATTCATACATCGTGGAGAAACAACCAATTGGAAAGTTGTTGTTTCATGATTTCTGTGAATCTACCGACAACCAGTACTATCATTCTTGTGTGTTTCTGAATAAGGTATAGAAAGATTTTATCACATGTTTGATTATTGAGTAAGTCTTATTTTGAAAGGTCGAAGAGTACGAGACATCCGATGATGACGTTCAGTGTCGGCGAAAGCTGGCACGAGCCATTGCCGGTCTTCTTGCCCCTGGCGGTGATACCCCCTCAGTATGTTATATCGATTTCTATACGGTTTTTGCCGCCTAATCTTTTGTTTGTAGTCGTCACAACATGACCACAGCCCTTGGTGTTCATTTCTGCCTGAAAACGTTGTTAATTCTGTTCTTGCTGCTGCCGATTCTGCCACACATGACCAAGAGCCACGAACGGATCTTTTTGCTGAGGCATACAAGTATGTCGAGTGCTTCTTTGTTGTTCTTTTCCCAACGCTTTTTGTTGACTTTTGTTGGAGATTCTGCTCAATTTTTTTCGAACTGCATCTTATGCTTCTTCCATGGTTTGGAGTTTCTCTAGTCTTTTCATTTATTTGCTTATTCGGTGCCCCTGTCTGATGATGGGGAAGAACGTTTTGTAGAGTTGTTTAACCCATTGTGGCGATCTGAAAAGGTGGCCCCACAGCACAAAGATTTTTCTTAAGATTGGTATCTCGTTACTCTTCAAATTATATGGGTTTCCGATAAACGATTTCAACTTTACTATTATGCTAATATCAGGTCGCTAAATTAAGTAACCGCAGATGAGCGATTCATCATAATCTATTGCGGTAAAAAATGTACATATTAATCATCTTCAATGGGTTGAAACACCATCTGTTGTTTTTTGGAGGAAATGTGGCTACAACGCAAGGCAATGTACTTTTCTATTCAGATTGGTTCGTGCTTATCTGGCAGATCATCCCTTCAAACAATTCCTCGATTCCATCCAATTTTACCGTTACCTACAATGGAAATGGCTAGAAAAACGACCTGTTGATAAGCACACGTTTAGGCTCTACAGAGTTCTTGGAAAAGGTGGATTTGGGGAAGTGTGTGCATGTCAGGTAAGTGCCATGTAATAGTGTGCTTTTTGATCCTTTGAAGTTGTTTCTTATTCCCACGTATGTACAACTACCACAGCGTATTGTGATGATGTATTTTCTCGTTCTCGTGGAAGCATTTACCAGCAATTCCCCCGTATTATTGTATTCTTGGCAAAACAGTTGATATTTGACTTGTACTTATTGGACGATTTGAGGTGCGGGCGTCTGGTAAGATGTATGCATTGAAGAAGTTGGAGAAGAAGCGAGTGAAAAAGCGTCATGCGGAAACGTTGAGTTTGAATGAAAAGCAAATTCTGCAACGGATTAACTCCCCCTTTGTGGTAAGGTTTCTGTCATTCGAATCTCTTCGAATTATCCTCACTTTCAACATTTTTTGTACTTGAATTGACTTTCATGAGTGGAAGTAGAGTGTCTTGTCAAACTTTGAATCTATTTTGGTATCAGCAAGCAGCGGGTGGCAATGATACGAATTTCTATACCATTTACCCAATCCAGGCAGAGCTTTATGTCCGCACTTCATGAATTTCCTTAAGGTCAGTCTCGCCTATGCTTACGAAACAAAGGATGCCCTTTGCCTTGTCCTCACATTGATGAACGGAGGTAATTCGTGCTATATTTTTTCCAGTCCTGTCTTGCATTTTTTATATCCAAAGATACTAATTTTCTGATGTATTTAGGTGATCTAAAGTTTCATTTGTATAATTTGATGCCCGGTGGTTTCGATGAAAAACGGGTACAGTTTTATGCTGCTGAGATCACTCTTGGTCTACAACATTTGCATAAGGAACGGATATTATATCGCGATCTCAAACCAGAAAATATATTATTAGATGATTATGGTGAGATTTCATTCCCTCGTATGTTTCACTTCAGTGTATGCTATCTGTGCTGATTAGTCGCTCTACGTATAATGCATTCTTTCCGTTTTTTACTGCGCTATTTTCAGGTCATGTTCGGATCTCTGATCTCGGTTTAGCTGTTGAGCTGAAGGATAATGAACCTATAAAAGGCAGAGTAGGGACAGTAGGCTATATGGGTAAGGGTTGTTTGTTTTCAATTCAAATATTATTTTAGATGAAATTTCAGCTCCTGAGATTGTAAAAAATGAACGATACTCGTATGGCGTTGATTGGTGGGGACTTGGTTGTCTCATATACGAGATGATTGAAGGGAAAGTACGTCCACTGTATGCAATTTTACTTTCACTAATGTACTACCCACCAGGCGCCATTCCGGCAACGTAAAGAGAAGGTGAAACGAGAAGAAGTTGAAAGACGGGTACGGGAGGATCAAGAAAAATATTCTGATAAATTTAGTGAAGCTGCTCGCACTCTTTGCAGGTAAAGCTTCTTTGAGTTTCAATTGTTTTACTTTGTTATACATTTATCCTTTTTTTAAATGAACATCGAAATTGTAGAGAACAGCTGCAATCAGCTAACTTGTAGAATTTCTGTACGATTGAAGCTTTTTTTTTGAATTTATTTTAGAGGCTTGCTCCACAAAGAGCCGTCATTTCGTCTGGGATGTCGTCGGGTAAGCAAGCCGGAGGAAGGAGCCGAAGAGATTCGAGCGCATCCTTTTTTCAACACTGCTGATGCTAACACAGGTCGAGAGCCCGTTCCTTGGAAGAAAATGGAAGCTGGGAAGGTAAGTCTCAATTAAATGAATTTTCATCAACTTTTTTTTGAATTGTTGTTGTTTCTTGAAGAAGCAACTCATCATATTCAAAGTCTTGTTCAGGTGACACCGCCATTCTGTCCTGACCCTCGTGCTGTGTATGCCAAGGATGTTCTTGACATCGAGCAGTTTAGCACGGTCAAGGGAGTCCGCTTGGATGCTAATGACACGCAGTTCTACGGAAAATTCAACACTGGCTGTGTTAGCATTCCTTGGCAAAACGAGGTACTGCACCTGACTTTTGTTTGGTTTTTTCATGGTTCTTTCTTTGGCGTTCACTACTACACACCTTGGTACTGATTTTCTCATCGAAAGAGCTGTTGATAACGAAGAAATTTGCTTTAATTTAGATGATCGAAACGGAGTGCTTCCAAGAATTAAATGTGTTCTTCGAGGAAGATGGCAGCTTGGTGCCGAGCCTGCGTGCCGATGGTCAGGTGCAACTCGATAAGAAGAACGGCTCAAGTAGTGCTGGATTTTTCAGTCGTCTGTTCAAACGCAAGGTGGAGAATTTTCTTGTTCATAGATCATGTAAGGTGAACTGGCAGTTCATTATGTGTTTTTCTGCTGATTTTGCGATTTTACCTTTCGCATCATTGCAAGGCTGAAGTGTTGACACTAGGGGTCTACTGAAAGAGATATGTAGCGGAGAGTTTAGGATAGAAGGCCAACTTCATTGGTTTTTATGATTGAATACATGCTTTAAGGTCACGATCGTCTTATTGTAATTTAAGTTTAACCCATCTTAGTTATTATATACACTGTCTTGCTTCGAAAGTCATTATAACTAACGCGTTTTCAAAGAGCTTGCTTTTGCTTTTCAGTCATTAAATTCCGGCGTATTTAGTGATGTGCCTTCAATCGTCTTTCCGTGAATGTGTGCAAAAAAGTGAGTGAACTTCAAGATACATTCTTAGTTCTCCTTTTGCTTGCTTATATGCTTTTACTTCTATAGTGCTTTCGAGTAGACTTTTCTTCTTTTTTTTTTTGTTTTAGAACACTTCTTGATATGTTTTAAAATTTACTAGGGGAAGATCCTCATTCGAAGACTTCTTCAAAAAATGCATACCTTCTTATGGATAATAAAACGCTAATTTTGAATCCATCTTCTTTATCTGCGCAGCATCTCTGGACAAGGAGTTATGAGAGCTTTTTAGCGAAAATTTGAAGGCGTAAACAGAAAAAATCATCTATAGAAGTCTTTCCCAGTCTAAAATGCAAAGGTGACTGTCCCACCCTAAAATAGAAAATTGTCCGCTTGTCATTCCTGTGCTCGCCCATTAATGCATATGCGAGTCGAAAGAGCTGTCACTTTTGGTTTTATCTGATCAGGCTTTACTCCTTTGACTCATAAGGTGCTCATAATTTCTCATACATAGAATTTCCGCAAATAAAGAAGACAGATTTGAAATTAGCGTCTAATGCCCTTCAAGACCATATGCATCTCAATTGAAAATGTCACTTCGCAAGGACCCTTCGCCTGTCAGACTTCGCCTATGGCTTACTTAGGTCACAAACAGACATTTTTGAATCTCCAGGAGTGTCACCCTCTTATTTGCACTGCGGATCAACTTCCTATACGCTTCGTGTTTCACTGAGTTGTGTTCAGCGCTGCCAATGACAATCCCTAGCTTCATATAATTTGCGGAATTTGTCTGTCGCGGTTTTCGAGAAGGTAAGGCAACAGCTGTGCGAACTTGCCACTGCGGTTGTCAAGTTTGGCTGAGAAGCTGATGAAGCGTGAAATTTTTAAAGGAGAGAGGCTCCAAACCTTTATTCTTTCTTGTCAAACGTCTGTATCAAGAAATTTGACCGTCGTCGATAAAACGCTTCGTCAATACCAGTGAAGGTTATAGCATGAAGAAGGCAAGGCCAGTGGGTCAGATCTGATTTTGTAATTTTTAGCATTCTTGTCCTTTTTTTTCAAGAAGGTGGATGATCGGGTGTGTGGCGCAAGTGGCCGAGCATCCGGCGCCCAGATTGGGGGAGGGGAGGGGTGGGGGGTATCAGTCGTTTGGGTACTCCCGCGGAAGGGACATACTTTCACGCGATTTCATCGTTTCGCGATTCTCTCAAAAAAAGACAACTCCTATAACTTCATTGCATGCCGACATCTTTCATTTCGGTCGTGATAGTCAATCGTGATTAGTCTCGTCGGAAATTTATCACAACCGAAATGCAAGATGACTGGTAAGCAATAAAAAAAGTTCAATCCTTCTGAGTTAAGAGCAGAAGTGAAGGACAGATTAGTATTCGCGTTCCATGCCGTACTTGTTGTCTGCATCATCTCATGAGTGGGCCGAGCAGACTACGCGTTGCCTGAGCAATCCTGGATGTAGCCTATATTGACTACACAAATAGTAAGAAAATGGGAGCGAAATACATGATTTCCCTTTCTCGAACGAACGTGACATTTTTGAAGATATCCGTCATGCGTTTGTGACGCCTATAAAACTTTGAAGTTTGAGGCACTTGAAGCATTTTGCTGTAATTGATCCTACCAAACAGCTTAATTATTGTGATTTGGTGTTCAGTGTGAAAATTCTCCTACAAGTTAACAGCCCATAATTTATAGTGAATCGTTTTTATCACGCTTCGTTCCTAGCTATAGATTTCGCTTTGTTTTTAGTTGTAGATTTTATTGCTTATTTATTGGCATAATGCATGAGTGTGTGATTTCTTTGAGAGATTTATCTTCAAATGGGGGTTCGTATCCCATATTTAGAAAGCTCTTCTGGTTAGACAGCACTGCACTCTCGTTCCCTAGAGTTTGGTTTGAATCTGAATTGATGGCAATTCTTTTCTTGGAGGCCTCATGCAAATGCATTTGAGTAACTATATACTTTGTCATCGTATGCTTCATCTAACTTCGTTTGGTTTTGCAATCTACTAGCAATGATTGTTATTGCAGCCTGCCCAGCTCAACGGCAAACATTCGAAATGTTCCAATTGTCCTGGAAGTGCTGGATGCGGAAACTGTAAGGTACGTCAGAGAGGTGTTTGTGTTGTATAGTTTGCGAACTTATCTGGTGAAATTCGCAAGAGGGTGTCGGGAAGCAATGAAGTCCTCAGAATTGACTTCTCTCAACAAATTTTTTCTTTGCATACTTTACCCCACGAACTTCTGTACAAATCCCTTTTTGTCTCGCCGCACCTGCTACAGGTCGCGAAAGCCGCACACGGTGGCCGCAGGTACTGTAGTGCAAAACGGCCGTCTACAAATAAAGCGAATGCACTAGGAAGGGCTAGTGCCATTTTGTAGTTCTCTACTATTCACATGTGGAACAGTACAACGTGCTAGGCGCTATAGCATCAAATTACGAAGTGCCATTCAGATTTGATGTAAAAGGGCTCATTGCCTTCCCTATATTATTTCGCAGAATTAGCACGATCACGTAATGTCTTCTATTCAGCGAGACTTGCACGATTTACTGTACAGAACATTGTGACAGGGTATGGGTTGCGACGGCAGCATATTAGTTTTACAAACTTTTGAATTTTTTGCATAATTCGTCATTCTCTTTTTTCTGCTGCTCACTCTTGATCGTTGCCTCATCTGTCATAGAAGCGATTATGGCTTCATATGGATTTCCGCGGGTGCTGCATGATTATCGTTGTGAGAGCAGACTCGTAGGATTCAGACTATCGATTATGCTGCTGTCTCTCGCAGGATTTTTGGTACGAGTTATCCATGAAGTCCCTAAATTCCACTACAACCCGCAAGGATAAGCTCGAATAGGTAAAGCACGTGTAGGTGTAATGTTGTAAGGTGTAATGTTTGTTAATCAAAAAATTGTGTGAATTTCGCGTAAAATGGTTTTTTACTTTTGGATGGAAAACTAGCTTTTCGGGCTTCGAGACGATTCGGAATTTTTGTACTTGCTAAAACATCAAATCATTCGTCTTTATAAAATAATAAAGAAAACTTTTTAGCTATCATTATACTTTCATGCGTGTGCATGTTATATCTTGGCCAGCACTCTGTGCTAGTTCAAGCTGCTGGAGGTATTGACAATGCGAACCCAATAAATAATGTAGTTCCATTGTAGGGCATCGATGTTTTGTTGTCATCATTCTCCTGGTATCGCACTTGTCTGTGTTACTGCTTCTATATTTGACCAACTATCGTGTGCTAAGAGCGAATTGAGAAAGAATTCGAGTAAAACGTCTGATATTTCATATCGAGAGATTTCGTAAAGCACCAAGTTATTTGATTGTGTCCTTCGAGTATACTGTATTCAAAAGGTCATCCGACATTCATTATGAGTTCAAATACCTTAGCAATCTCAGATCATCTGTTTTGATTTTGGACTTCGCGCACAGCTAGAGAGTAGGGCTCGAATGAATGCAGGCCCCTAAAGCTTGAAGGCAGCGTTAGTATCAGACACAGAATTTTTTTCCGACAGCGGTGTTTCGCGTTGTTTTTGTTGCAGAGTGCTCACTCTATTATCATTCGCTTAATCACCGTTTTGAACTATAAATAAAAAAGATAAAGGTTTCGGCGTCTTCAGTGCACTCCGTCGGCATGCGTCGAACGCAACTTTCATAGTCGAAGAGGGAATTGTATGCGTGCGAGCCTTTTTCAATGACTTGCGGGGCTAGCCAATTACCAAGTCAGTGCTTTTACCCTCCCAGATTACTCTGGTACCAATTTACGTTCCGGAAGGTAGAATGCTTAGTTGGACCAGGGGCGGAATCGAACCTGGGTCCGATCCGGTTATAGCGGCCTCATACCATTGAGGCACTCGTCACCCTCGTCCAGAGCTCGGCACAGGTGGCTTACGAGCAAGCTGGATATCGTTTTTGGGACAAAAAGCAAAGGGGGTTCCGTTTTTGTGGATGAGGACACGCAAAATTGGCGACGTTTTTTTAGTCGACGTTTCGTTTTTTGGAGAATTTTTAGGGATTTTTTAGGGAATATTAGGGAATATGGTGTAGGGTCAAAGGGGACTTCGTAAAAATTCCCAAAAGTCAAGAGGGACTTTGTTTTTTGCATTTTCATCTAGCCACCTCGTGCCGAGCCCTCTCCTCATCCCCTTTGAGCTACAGCTCCCGATTCCTTCGACACAGGCAAAGCTTGAAAATGCTTTAGTTAACTGAGCTAAATAGTATCGTCACCCAATATTCGTATAAAACCTCGATGGTATATAGTATGACTTTGTCTCTGATCCCTAACATTGCCAGTGGACGGTACGCGCTACTTCGTAGAGTACCTGTTCAATCTTCTCTTTTGCAGTTGTAATCTGCTCAAAAACCGAGTGGTCCATTGGTTTTTGTTTTGAGATTATTATGACACGAAAATGTTGAATGCCTATTGAAGGCAGTGGCTCGGGTGCATTTGCGAGCTTTCCATCCCTCCTTGGCCTTCTGAATGAGCTGAGTCGAAGGCTGTGCTTGAAAAGTCAAAAAAATGCTTTTTATGGCGTTTTCCTCTTGGAGATTACTGGAGGGGGATGAGCAATTCCCACCAGCTGAGTCGCGATTGGCTGCCTGAGCCGATCAGCCAGCTGCCGCCAAAATGGGTGGAGCAGTCTCCTGCAGCCAGTCGTTGTTTTTGGCAGGAATCTCTCCTCCTTAGTAATCTCCAAGGCCGGAAAACTCCAAAAAAGCCTTTTTTGACTTTTCAAGCACAGTCCTGGACTCAGTTGATCCAGAAGGCCAGCAGGTGTGGGAAGCTCACAGTCACCGTTTTCCCGAGCCACTGCCTTTGAGCTTTGTTGACGCTAGGAGGACTTGGGTTCACTGCTGTATCTTGTTCAGAATAAACTAACCTGAAACAAGCCTTTTACTTCTAATTTTGATTGAAGAGCCCTGCCAAATACTATAGAGATGTACCAGGACTTTTATCCCTAGAAGCGTATCATGAAGAAAGTGACAGAACTCCAAACCGACAACCTACACTTGGAATGAAACTCGCAATATCCCAGTCTTGAAACCGGAAGAAATCGAAATCAAATCTAGTTCTAACTAATCAACGAAAACTAAGATTTTAAGGTTGTCACGATAGGAAGGATGGCTGGCAATGATTTGTCAATGTTTTGTTAGACAATGAAGACGAAAGTTACACATTTGAAGCTTCGGCTATTATCTAATTAGCTCATCTGCCGTCCATTCGGTGATTAATATTCATTTCAAAGAGCTCTGCGTGCTTATGGGAGCGCACAAGCATTGAAGTTATACGTTTTAGGTCACAAAATCTCTGCACGATCTGCAACATGGTTGTGATTCGCTGTCAGGTAACTGTGGCAGCGGCCGCCAATTGCGTGCGTTGTCTGCGAGTGGCCGTCCATCTATGGCACCAAGTGCGCCAACTCCAGGACAGTCCTCCGAACAAACTACTATGTGACGTTATATGACTCGCGCAATAGTCTCCTCTTTCTTTCGCATACTGCAGATTGTTTGAAGTTTGTTTTGCCATCTCTGGATTCTCAGTTTTTGTTCAGTAGATTTTAAGATATGTTTTTGCTATTATCATGCTCATTTGTTGCACTGTGGCTGTTTTTGTCTATGTTGAATCAAATTCTATTGTCATGTCATGCCGTCTCGTTGATTTTGCCGTTTTTTAAGGAGTACTTTCTTCCTTCACTGCTTTTGTGTCTTATTTATTTCAATATATCAGCGTAGTGTAGTGGTTAGCAGATTATCCGGTACACTCACTGCGCGGGTTCAACCCTCTTGTGTATTTTCCACTTCTAGTCTTTGGCTTTTTGCAGTCGAGTTCTGCTTTATCTCTTCTCTCTTTGTTGTAGTTCTTTAATGCACTATTTATGTACTATACCGAAATTATGCGTCGATTTCATTTTAATTATTATGGGACCGTCATTTTATTGCCTTTCCAAGGCAAATAAAGAAGTTTCAACTTCATTTTTTTTCATCCACTTCTCTTCCTATATAGCATGCTTAGGCCTGTGTTTATTCAGTACAGATTAGTTTAACGGCTCAGTTCACATGTTATCTTTTCAGAGAAATTACTGACAAGTGCAGCTGTGCTTAAGAGATGTTTGTAGTGCACCTGGAAGGTGGAATAGTAAATTCAGTTTGGATTCTTACAGGGATGAGAATTTACCCAAGTAGACTGAGAAGAGCTATGCACCACAGCAAACGGCTCTTTGGATGAAGCTATTAGCGTTTGAGTTGTTAAATTGCTAGAATACCAAAAATATAATGTTCATGCTCGTTTATAGCGGGCATTTTGTTGGCGCTATTCATTCACTATAAGGAATGAGCAAACCCATTAGAATCAAGTAATCGTTTTCGAGCATTTTAGAGTATGTCATCCAATGCTTGACATATGGGGACTTTCACGCGTTCATAGCTTCTCAAAGTCTTCGATGGCAAGCGAGGTTGCTTCGGAATTAGCGTTTGAACGCGCTCTGATAACCTACATCTTTCTCGAATTTGCCAATGTGACTTTGAATTCTTGCCTTCAGTAGTTATTGCATTGTGCTAAGAATTAGCGTATTGGTGAAGTTGTTGTAATTTATAATCCTTGGGTGACGCTGCAAAGAGCTTTTTCACATTATTCTGTTAAACGCGAAAGCAAATGGAGACGATTCAAAAAGGAATTTAGTTGCATAGAGCATTAGCCAGAACGCATTTGGCTAAGAAGTTGAGAACTCTTATTTGCAAGACATATACAGTTCTGCCCATTTTGCACTTATATAATAGTTTCTTGAGATGCCTGTAATGCTTAACTCACTTTTTCATTTTGACTGTACTCTATAGTGCTCAAGGGCAATTCAAAAAATTTCTATGGTTGTAGCTACTCTGATCAATGCCAATTTTGTTCGAAAATTGCCAAACTGCTTTGCAGCCGTTAAGTGCAGTTTTGAAATCGGCTTTCTACACTAACAACTGCTTGTAAGATGGACGTTACCTAATTCATGTGAAAAAATCGTTTGGCTTGTTACGCCCCTAAAATTCCTCTACAGGGCTAATTTGAAGTTTTATGAACTTCCAAAAATTATTTCAATCATTCGCAAGTATACACAAGTTAAAGATTTTTGTAATTCGTGTAAGTAACTTTCAAGAAATTCGCAACCCAGTCTCGGAAAAGGCGCCCCCCCCCCCCTTTCCCCCTCTCTCGGTCCGCCACTACTGTGAGATGGGGAGCCAATAAACAGCTAATATGCGCTTCAAGGGAAACTTATTTCCATCCTCGTAGTGTATCAGAGGTACCAGTTCAGAGATCCTTCTCACATGTAACTAAATTTCTTTTTTGATGTAATAAGTAACAACCCATATTTCTTGGGATGTATCCACGTAGTTTTTGCAAGGTGATGCTCACTTATGTGTTCAGAATCATCTTCTGCACTCTTTTATTTTCCATCAATACAAAGGTCGGCCGCATTATGCATATTTATCCGAAAGACACATCATATTTACATCGATGGTGTGAGCTTATAGCTTCACGAATCGCGTGCCCTGACATCTTTTTCGTCAAGGCTATCGTCTTCGTTATCTTCATCTGTCTCGCTCTCTAGTGGATTTCGGTAGAGGTGAAGAGAGCTTCCACACTGTCTTGCCGCTTCAGCTACCGTTTGTTTTCCAACAGGTATCGATTCCGAGCCCGACAGTAAATCTATTTCATCTGCAAATTGAATTGAGCAGCTATTGGGGTGGAAAACTAGTTTCTTTTGCACTTATTGGTGCATATAACCGTAATCATTGCAGTTTGTTGAGCCGAATTGTCGTTAGAATCTACATACTTTTTGCTAAGCGCTGGAATAGTATTAATGCGTCGACATCACGCCAGCGCGGGTTACGGTAGGATACTGTACCCAAAAGCTTGTTTGTGATGCTTATAGATGTTATTAAAGAATTCTTCCTTCCCCCCTCCCCCCCCCCCCCCATTTGAAGAAGACATACTCACCATTATTTTCATTGAGCCTACTGGCACTTTTGCTGAATCTGCTGCCGGAATCCACTCCATTTGCACTTTTGTATTTCGGTTGCAGGAACGAGTGAACTCCTTCAAATATTTTGTTCAAAAGTTTATGATAAGAGTAGAAAGAATGAAAAAATGGTACCATAAGGAAGCGTAGATTGATCGCGATCTCCTGCCATAAGTAGCAGTTGTCGTTGAACGGAAAGCTCACGAAGATGTCTTTGACTTTGCCGTACGCTGACATATTCGTCCAGTTGCTCCCTAGGACCCATGATTTAATCATACTTCTCTTTTGAAAAATATTGAGCCATACTTTGGCGTTTTGTAGTCCCTCCATTGCTGGCCTTCTCTTCTTCCGAAGAAAATCAAGCTCAGGACAAGAACAAGTATGATACAGAAGACTGCAATCAACGGAAAAACTAGTACACTTTCCCAAAACGAGTAACCATCGGAGACAGCGCCAATCTCACGAACTGGTTGTGCTGGAGTAGCTGTAACCTGAAATAGTTAGAGTGAGTAATAGAGCTTCGAGCTTATTCGAGCAATTTGATATTCGATTTACTTACAGTCAAATCTGCAGCCAGCTCAACATCGTAATGCTCTTTTCTACGATCTCCATCTACAAAGTCACGCAGCATGGTCACATTTCTCTAAAGCATTATTTATTGAATTTTTCGAATCAGAAAAGGCAAAATCTCACTCACGATTCTTGTCCTACACCAGTCCACATCAAATGTTGGGGCAAAATACTTGTTTAGAACAACGAGCCTTTGCTTCTTGCAAAACGATGGATTTCTTTGTAAATTGTGAATCAGTTTATGTACAGTGGGATAGAATCCACGTTGCGAACCAATCGAGATAAGCGAGCTGTAAGAGAAATCTTGAATTCAGGGAAGGGAGGGGGAGGGGAATTTATTGGAAAAAAAGTTCTTTAAAAAATTTATGTTGTGCAACACGTACCTACTCTTCTGGTTTCTGAACAAATGTTCTTTTCCTGGTGGTACCTGGAACTCTGGCTGGACAGAGTATATATAAGGATTGACGTCTTTTCCACGGAATGCTTCTCGAGCCGACTTTTCCAATTGATCTGTAAATTATCTCGCTACAATATGCAGAAGACGAATTAGGGTAAAGACATAATGGATCTCGCTATCATTCCGCACTTTCCATTTTTTGGTTTTTTCATTATGGTCTCATTTCCACATTGAAGTACATTTGTGGTTTAGCGCTATCGGTTTTGAATAAATGAAAAATATACAGTACAGTACCTACGAGCCCCGTCCTGTCGTTGAGAAGATTCTCAGCTTCCACATTTGCCACATGAAGGTCTATAATCTGTTGTGTTGCTCGGGTATATCTCTCTGTAAGAAAAACTGTTTCTTTTTTTCCAGAGAGAAGATTAAGTCAACTCAGAACAGCAAGTATGGTATGAACAAATGAACAGTAAGCCAATTATAATGTTGTTAGCACAAAGATAATCTCAACTGCGCGAAAATCGAGGGGGACTTGTTAATGAAAAATATACGAGCTTGAGCAAAAAGAAGTATATTTCACAGAGGAAATTGCAAAAAGTGATACTAACCGTCATCGGAGAGAGAAATGACGACATACTGTTGCTTCGTTTCGAACGTATCCAGTCGTTTGGCAAAAACATGCACAGTCACCTGCCTGACTCCAGTTACAGGAGTCCCTGTAAATGAGAGTTCTAGCAATCAAAGAAATCATATTTTGAATTTGGGATCCACTGTTTTTGGAGTCATAAAACTTCAATAATTTGTGTAAATACAATGCTAGCGCGGTCATGGGGAGACAAAAGTAAAAAATAGACGTGCGCTGTGGAACTGTCTTAAAAACGTGAAAAAGAAACAAAAAGGAAGCTCATACTAGCTATAAATATGCAACTACTAATACCTCACCTACAAGATAAGCGATGGCTTTGTACCGGGATGGGACGAGGTGTAACCAGGAAGGAAGTGCTGGGCGATTTTTCAAAGTGGCTGACCATGAAACCTCCACTAAAACTTACAATTATCTGAAGATCTTAGGCAAAAAATAACAAGGACACTTCCTGGCTCAAAAAAGACAATTGTCACCTGTAGTTGGGAACAATGCGGCTGAGTGCAAAGTGTACACAAATAAATGTCCTTTTCGAGCGTCAACCTGTCGGGTATCAATAGCAGCAGCTACAGCAAGCACTGTATAAACATAGAATAGAATATTTTGCATAATTTGGAGCACGGTCAATAAGTTCGGGCGCTCGGGCTCCGTTCGGGCCGCGGACATTACACTAGCACAAGCAGCAGCTGACGTACACTTTCAAAGTCAAAAACAGATTTATTCGCTGTGACATAATCATAATACATCTTAAAAGTAATAAATCCATAAGCCAAGTTTCACTTACGAAATGGGAAGGTAACTTATCCATGATGTCTCGTTTGTTTTTGAACCTTATGCAGACAAGATCCCTCAACAAAAAAATAGTTATCAGCAAATTGTAGGGTTTTGTAAATTCACCAAAAACAAATGTGGTGTACTCACTTCAACACATAAAAAAAGAAAGCACGAGATGTGAAAGGGTAGATCACGAAACCTAGTGGATATGTGCATAATTTGTACTGTGAAGAGTATGTCCTAAGTTTTGTTTTGTCGGAACAAATAAGAGTATAAGTTGATGCTTAAAAGTGATGTAGGGAACCGAATGTTAAATTCAAGTTCTCTCAATTGCAAACTATTTCAATGAAGTCTTTTTCAAAAAATAGAGACGGATTGATTTAAAAAAACAATCAAACATCCATCTTCAATTGATTAATTTACAGAAAATATTTGAGAGGTAAATGACAACGAACTAAACGAGAAATTTATCAGATAAAACAAAACAATCAACGTATTTCTTCATGATCTTTCCCAGGCAACTACCGAACTCGGTAGACCTGTAAATCAGATAAAAGATAGAAAAGTTCTTCGGGAAGCTTTGCAGGTGAGTAAGGCAGTTGAGACAGTAGTTTAGAGCTCGGTTGAGCAGTAAGTATTGCTTGTAAGTTACTTACACGACGCAATGACTGGACTTGTCCGTTCATTACGAAGCTCCTCAGAACGCTTTACAGTTCATTATCGAATCTATGGCAGTCCAGCATTTAAATCTAAGTACCTGGGAGTGTTACGTAGAAAATCATCCTTAGTCGAACTATTGTCAAGCGTCAGCACATACGCACTGTGGCTGAGATATCAGCTATAAAGTTTCAGCTCGTACCGTAATTTTTCCCAACGAGCGATCAATCTTGAGTACGGTACCAAGGATCGCCTATGAGAGATTTTTGTAGCTGCCGTTCGAGCAGTGGTCTAGGTGCAATGCTGAATTTAGCTTCGCACATGGTATGGCATCAAGTGTTTGAATTGACGACGTAGTTCAACAATCGGATTATGACAGGTAAGGAGCTGAAACGCTTGGAATGAGCGCAAAAAATCACTCAGTAAATAAAAATTTATACTGTCATTAAGCAATATATTGGGTCGTCCCGAAAGTATTTCGCTTTTTTCAAACGGTTGCCACAGTCGATGGAACAAACCTTTCTAAGAGGTCTTGGTAGCGGATGCAGAATTTCATTCTCTTTCTAACGGTTATAGATGCAAAACAGTCAATGAGCTTTCAGAAAATAACCAAAATCTGCGACCCATGTTTTTTGAGATGGTCAAGTTTCACGATTTTTTAAAACTTTCATATCAATCCTCAGAAGGAGTCCAAGTAACGATTCGATAGAGTAAACCTCATAGAATACAGTGCTACTTTTTTCTCTTTCTCTTAGCTTGCCGTAATTTTTTAAAAGATTTTTTAACAAAGCCATCGGGTTTTGGCAGTCCCACCTCAGCCACAATCGCATCAAACATCAGTAGTTACTCGGAATTTTAAGCTTTCAAGATGATATATGACTTAATATTGAATTTATAAAGCAAATGAGAGTTTACGGATTCGAAATATCAAATTTCGAGTTTTCCGGGTACAGCCTGGGGCTCCTTAAAATAATGAATTGTGATGATTTTATCCCCGAAAACTAAACGAATCGGAAACAAAAAACACCCATTAGAAAGAGGAGAAAATGCTGCATCAAACAGCACCCAAGGTGCTCTTCCTTTGATGTTCTACGAGGATTTAGCTGTCCAAATATGGAAATCGGTAGCATCAGTTAAAATTCTATTAAAAATGTATGACAAGCTATGGAAAAGAGAAAAAGTTGCACTGTATTCTATGAGGTTTGCACGTTACTTGAACTCCTTCTGAGGATTGATATGAAAGTTTTAAAAAATCGTGAAACTTGACCATCTCAAAAAACATGGGTCGCAGATTTTGGTTATTTTCTGAAAGCTCATTGACTGTTTTGCATCTATAACCGTTAGAAAGAGAATGAAATTCTGCATCGAACGCTACCAAGACCTCTTGGAAAGGTTTGTTCCATCGACTGTGGCAACCGTTTGAAAAAAGCGAAATACTTTCGGGACGACCTAATATATATATATATATACATATAATGATTTATTTCTCTTCAAGTGCAGTGCTTCAGTTCACAACCTTTATTGAGTTATTATCGATGTTCTTCAATAACAGACTTGATAACACAAATCTTAAATATGTCAATAAGGCCTGAAAGACGAAGTGTGTGAATCATTCATCAAGGTATGTAACGTTATCTGAACATCTTGTTTGTCTTGTCCGGTGAAAACATTGTGCAGCTTTTCGAAAAGCATATTATTCATTCTGCACCTGCTCCACTTTATCACTGTCACATAAGAAGATATTTATAGGCAACGTTAAAGCAGTAAAAATTTGAAACTAGCATATGGGTTATGGGTTAAAAATATGCAAGTGATTTGCTTATAAATAGCAAGAAGTTTCTAATTCTTCGAAAACCGTCTTTGTACATATTTTTTGGGGGAAGAGGGATGGATATGGGCCTGTAAAAATCTGGGACATTTCCAGAAATTTGGAAAGCGCGCAAACACTGACTTTTGTTCACAGCACTTATTATAATGTCTCCCTTCCCTGAAAAATTTTCTTTGACCACTGCTCTTCAGTTGTGCTGAAAATTGTAAAATAATTGTTGGAGGTGTAAGCACTGATGTTATCTCCTTCGAAGATCTACTTCAAGCTTAAGAGAACCCCACACAGCTGTCTTCTTAGAAGAAATAGTTGGATTCTTCTATATCCAGTGTATCCAGAGCGGTGTACTTATGTTTGATTGACATGTTGAACCTTGATAATCCTTCTTCCTTTCTCAAATTTCTTCTGAATGTAGAATTGTGTCTGTTGATAGGCTCTTGAAACCACTTTTCCTTTTTTGTAGAAACAGCTACAATATTTCACATGCGAAAAAATTGTTGTCCTACTTTTCCATTCTTACAGAGCCTAACATCGGCCATGCCCCTTTTCAGCTACCTCGATGAGAACGAGCACCTCAGGTTTGTTCTATTTGTTCGGTCAACTTGCATTGATCTTCATTGAAGGCTGAAACGTATGTGGAGTTTTTTCTCTCTAAACCTTGCTACAGAGGCCCATTTGAAGGAGTGCAGATGCATTATTGGTATCAAAAAGGCTATCTACCATCAACATTACACATCTTTGTCCACTACGGACTATATGGGAGATCGAATACATTGGGTAAGTTGGCATATGTCAAAAAGCTTTCCTTCAGATCACTCGTTTTCAGAAGAGTTAAGAAAAAGAAATGGCGATTTGAATCCGTTCCTTGAAGTTACGAATCGGAGACTAAGTAATCCTACCAGTATTGAGAGATTGAGGATGATGTAATGGTTACAGGCAATCCTTACGAAGCATCATCGTCCAGTTTGGATTCGGACTCGCACTCTTCATTGCCATGTGGTCTCAAAAAAGTAAGAAACAAGACGTGATATAAAATTTCTGCAGAATTTTTGTGGAAATATTTGGCTCCACATGGGAAGTTGACTGGATCTGATAAGTGATGAATAGATTTGCCTTTGTTAAAGTACACAATTATCCGCAAAGGGACGAAGACAAGCAAAACTATTAATAACTATGAATAATACTATCATTACTAATATTACTATAATACTAATACTATTAACTAATAATACAAGCTGGTGCTAGCAAGGAGGTTCACGATAGGGTGAGTCAGACATTAGCATTTCTTAAACACACGAGAATGTCTTGCCTGAACCCCCCCCCCCCCCCCAGCATTCGACTGGACATCTGGTAAGCTTCGTCCCTCTGAATTGACGCGTTGAATTCTGTGTCAAATTTGGTCAAGTACGGTGATGGGGAGAGTTTAGCGCCAAATTCGACCAAGAAAAATTTTTATGAGTTGTCGCCAATGATAAAACAATGTTAGATTTGGCTCCGCGCAGATGTATATACAGTCGAGAAGGTTTTCCGCTTAATATAGTGTGCTTGCACTGTAGCTGAAAGCGCCGATTTGCGCGTAAACAATTTGATAATCAGCTAGTGATCTCGAACACGGTTTTCACCCATGGCTACTTATTTCTTACCGAAAAAGTGGAGGTTTGGTAAACTTTGTCTCGAAAACAAACGTCTGCAATAGTTTGGGCGGGCAGCAAAGCAGCAAACAGACACTTGCTTTTGGAACAAGTTGGACCCTTACAACGCGCTCCCCAGCTTTCGCGCGCTGACAAATTTCACTTTTATACTGGTGCACTTTCAGCCTCTTTCGCAGGAGGATTCAAGTTGATCTAGTGACGCAACATTCCCTGACTTCTTTAGAATGACGATTCAAGTTCATGTGAGTGGATAGACCATTCTGTTAGCATCAGTTACTTGCTACCCTTTCCTTATGAGCAGTAAAACGGGGCTCCGTCCAACCACAGTCCATCATCAATACGATGGAATCCGGAAGTATCCCACGAGTCGTTTGTAAGGAGACGTCATAACCGGTCTGCGTTCTGCAAAACCCCACGTGGTCCGTGATTACGCGTAATGACCTCGTGCCAGCAAGGTTCATTCAATCGATGCGGCGCTTGTGCGTGGTCCACTATGGAGTTTATTTTCTGTCCTTGTAGTCGTTTTTTTGCTCATGGTTCTTGCTTGTTCTATGATCTCATTACAGTTCATCTTTTCTGATCAGTGATAGTTCATGGCGTCGCACTTTTTCGCTGCAAACCGCTTGATTACCAATTAGTTTTTTGTGTGGTCATCAATTTCCATTAATTGGAGCACAGAACGATGCCATATCCCAAGTTCGAATGTCCCGAAGAAGACCCAGAAGAGGTCGCTGAACGCGAATTTGAGAAGCAGCGTGCCGATCTTGGCTTGCCGGACTCTCGTCCTGCTAAGAAATCCCTTCCAGCCGCTCCGCAGCCATCACGTAAGTGGGTTTAGTTTATTTCAACTCAACATGTTTATATTTCAGCGATAAGGCCAACGTCAAAGCATCCAAAGGAGGCAAAGGCCCTTCGAAAGAAGCGCAACCGTGGCATCAGTGGTTCTTCGATCAAAAAAGATGGTGGGTTGAAGTTTCCTTCCATTGTTAATGTGTTAGTGAAACAAAACTTGCTATAGGTGGCCGCTTCGATATGGGTCTTGACGACTACATCTTTGACGAGGATGTTGATGAGCACACTGAAGACATCGAACAAGATGTATATAACGAGTTCATCAAACCCACGAAGTACGTTTTCGTATTTTAAATTTTTGACCGAAGTAGAAGGTTCCTTTTGCTTGCAAGTTCAATAACAACGCTTTTTTCTCTCTACATCGTGAATTTGTTGTTAGTTTAAGTATGAAGATGCGTGCCTCAAGGCTCCAGATTGAAATCATAATTCCATTCTTATACCATATTACCTTTTTCTTTCGTTTAGTGGCTCTTATTCATCGCGATCCATCGGCTTTGGTTCGATGGAATCGGATAGTGAAGCCAGCAATGACTCGGCTAACGTCAGGCCTAAAAACGATCAGGTAAGTTGAGAGATCGAATATGCTTAAGCATTTTGATGCGGCAGTGAAATTATGCTTCAGATGATACGTGTAAAAGACCTCCTGCTTGCCGCATTGTCCCCAGATGATGACGGGTCTAGCGAACAATCGCTCGCTAATGTGTTTTCTGAAGAGTACGATGAAACTGGACGTGTCAAACTTCTCCATGACGCAATCACTGCCATTTGCAATGTAAATGAACCAGTGTCGTTTTATAGAACGCTTTGGTATTTTCATCTCTGTTCAGAGAAGGGAGGAAGTCGTGGATGATCCCATGTTCGAGTATCGCCTGGTAACCACCGTTAGCAGATTGATTCAGCAGGAACTTCTCAGAAGTTCCACGGTCGACAGCTACGTGCAGTGGTTTGTTTTGTTTCATTTTGTTCTCTGTTGCTATTCGGAGATACTATCTCTTCAGTGCGCAGAGCAGAGACCACGGTTGGGAACTTCTCAATGCTGCTACTGTGAAACTGCCTAAAGACTGGGACGCTGATGGTAAGTGAGCTGTTTTGTCAGCCATGGAAAGGCTATAAAGATTTTTTGAGTTTGGCATTGACCACTGTTTTTTTTTGTCTCTCATATAAAAATCATAACTTATGTTTCCAAAATTCCTTGTCAGTTACCTATCCATGAGCAGGAACCACATCTACAAGTAGTTTACTGATGGTTGATCAGGTGTTAATTATGCAAGTTTTAGTCGCTCTCAAAGGGATAGAAAAGCTTGCTACGGAGCTTGCAACTGAGTACGATACCAAAGATGTTGCTGAAGATCTTTCTGGGCGCAATGTTCCTTTCTTTCATGCTAATTTTGTTTCTCAGGTCAGTCTTTGTAGTTCACTAAATCTGGAGCGAAAGGGTTCAATAATTTTTTTCAAGTTTTGTTTGGACGCCATTTTTTCGATGAACATGGATGTCATTTATTTTGTGTCTACCGCTCTCAAGGATTTTCTTGACCATGGGGTAAGCAAGATTCCGTTATAGTTGCTCAATATAGCAGCAAATTTAGGCTTTGAGTCCTTGGTCGGTTAATATTGGTTTCGAACGTTTCTTCAGAAATATTCATTCTGCCGAGGTAGATTTTTTGCCGTTAATGCGAATCGAGTTTTTTTTACCTTCACACTATTAGATGGATCTCCCTGGTGCTACTTCACTTGCAACTATGCTCATGAGTTATGCCGCTAACGATGTTATGATCATTGATGATCCGACTGCTGCTACCTGCCCAAAGTAAGTTTTCCATCAATCTTTATCTTTTTTGTAGCTGTGTCATGTTATCGTTTGATTTTATATCACATAAGCGGAATTTAGGCCAGCCCGTTTCATCAAAGTCGGACCTCAGGGAAAGCTTTCCGTGGTTGAGAATGGCCACGAAGAATGCAGTGAAATGAACTACTTCATTATGGGTCAGTGATACCCTTGTCGGGTCCATGTATATACCTTCTTCCTTTTTGCCACCAGATCTTCTCTAGTTTTACGCCTTCGTATAAGAGGAAATGTTTTATTGCTGTTTAGCGATTACCTTGCTTTGAAAGCTTCTGGATGGGTTTCGTTTTTGACCTCACGTGGTAAATTACGGATTTCTTGCACTTGTTTTATGGCACCATTATCTAGTGCTTCAGATTAGAACACCCGTATGAGTTAGCTTTTATCCTTTGCGTTTGAGGTACTTAAGAGCCGCACCCGTTCCTTTCTACCTGTGTCGCCGTTTCAGCTATAGTTTCTTGAGCATCGACATTCCTTCCGTTTCTGTGGCGTTTGATAATGTTTGTTCGTTTTATAATGCGTTCATATATATAGTCTATGAATATTGCCGTTGTGTTAACGGCGTTCTCTTAATGTGCAACATCTGATTTCGTTCAATAAAGTGTTTATGGGTGCAGCTTTTCTAGGTATGTTCAGCAGCTATAGCGGGAGTTGTACTTGCAACTTCGAGCAATGATGCACCTTTATTGATTCGTATGCTAACCTCAGTTTGATCGTATTATTTCAAGGGCTGCCGCTGTTCAAATCAAGCGCTCAAGATTCAATTCTCCATGAGCACTAGTAGGATATCATAATCATGACGTAACTCGTTGGAATTGCGGGCTTCGCCTGCCGACCCCAATGATTGCTGCGGGAGACAAGCGAAATATCATCTCTTTCGGAAGTTATTTACTTCACTGCTTGTTGGATAGTGCTTTTTCGGTTCTGGACAGCTATAGGCAAACTGAGAAGTGGAATGGATCTTAGACGAAAGGGAGCTACACGAAGGCCACGGCTACGTCCCACCCTCGGCGCATATAAGGATGAAGAGAGGAAAAGTATAAGGCGAAAAAGGCACCCGCAAAATTTTGCGCGGAATTTCTTCAACGTTTCTAGTGTCAGTCTTAAATTTCCACTCAATGTAGAATGCTTGCAGTGCCGAGAGTTTGCTGTAATTTGCGCGTGAGCACTAGATACGCCCGCGATGCAGGTTACTTGCGCGCGAGCAGATTGCCGGCATTTCAGGCGTAGCTATTCACTCATTCGGCAACGCAAGCACACTATATTGATGTACGCCCATCCATGCGCGCCCATCCAATCGGTCTGCGGGTTCTCCGAAATGGGAATTGTCGCGGTCACAGATTCTCGACTTCATATTCAACATGGAAGTCGAGAATCTGGATGGACGGTGCTTTTGAGCGGAAAATCTACTGGACTTTAGGCACATCCCGTCCTGGCTCCACCCTATTCAGATCCTAGTTGACCCGCTGACAACCACATGCACCTTATGGCGAGATTCAAAGAGACCGTTCTCCCCGTCCTTACGCGACTTCAGCATTACCATGAACTCTGCTGGAAGGGCGTTAGTGCTTGGTAGTGAAAGATGAGGGAGAAGCAAGAAAAAAATTGCGAAGTACATTGTTCAGTCTTATTAAAGGCATTGTCCAGGTCAACTGGAGGGGGGGGGGAGATTTTGACGCAGTGCGGGAGCACGGCTTGTGACTGATGCTAGTGTTCAAGTCCGATCGAAAAAGGTGGATTCTGAAGCAAGCAAATCGCTTCGGAAAAAAAGGGGCGGTACACTAAACCCGCCTCCTTGACAAGTTTCGACGTGGCGAATGCTGTAGTTTCAAAGGCAGCGTCCAGGCAAATCTGGGCCTATGGGGATCTCACTTGAAGGGTAATCTTAGAGCCCTAACTAAAAGACTGCCCGAGCGGCAGCTCAATTGGCGGACTCACAGTTGAGATATTCGTCTCCAAACTGAACCCCGGGATCGTATTCGCATGGATTCATGGCGCGACACATCAGTTTCGCACGAGGACCCCCTCGTGTCGCGCCATGAATTCATGAGAATACGATGATGGGGTCCAGTTTGGAGGCGAATATCTCAACTGTGAGTCCGCCAATTGAGCTGCCGCTTGGGCAGTGTCTTAGTTAGGGCCCCAAAATAACTTTCCACATTAGAACCTGGTATGTCTAGATTTGCCTGAACGCTGCCTTTAATGCATTAACCACGTCAAAACTTGTCAAGGGTCAAGGATGCGGGATTGACGTACCGCCCCCTTTTCCGAAGTGATTTTCTCGCTTCAGAGTCCACCTTTTTCGATCGAACTTGAACTCTTGCATCAGTCAGGAGCCGTCCCACCACCCTTCAGTTAACCTGCACGATGCCTTTAAGTATCATGGTGAGTAGCCGACGTTTGGTGACACTCCACCTTCGCAACATCCAACGCAGCACAATCTAGAGAATAGATTATATGAACTGTTTCTCGAAACCATATGGTTTCTTCTTCTTTGGGTGGATTACAAAGGGCAAAAGGCGTTCAAGCATAAGACGCCTACCAAGATATCCTTGTAAACAAAGCGGTGCCCGGAAGGATATGAAATACTGGAGACAGATCGCTAGTGTGCCTCGAAAACGAGTCATCTACTCATCTTTTCTGCGAACAGATTAGGACGACGAATTTACCGTAGAAATATTAGGTTGGCTCGATAGTTCTTGCGTAATTCAAACAAAATTCAATAACTTTTCAATAACTAAACCTAAATTCACAATCTTGTTATCTAATAATATTAGAAGGCCTACGCTCCATGATGGATGTTTAAGCGCAAGATTTCATGAGCTAGCCCCCGAGAAGGAAGCTCTCAAATATGGGACTTCAAAATTTGCAATTTTGAGTTTGGTGCCAGGAAAATCGCAGAGTGCCGCTAGCTAGCCGAAAAAATCTGTAAAAATTACTTACACTGCAGAAGTCCATACGTTATTTTAGCAGGCTTTAATCTCGCATGGAAATGCGAAAACAAAAAATTTGTGGAATTTGTCATTTTACAGGATAAATCCCCTTATCGATGTAATTTATCCACAAAAACACAGTTTGCAACCAGGAATAAGACATATTGCCTATTTAGAACCTTGCGACGTTTTTTGGAGTGTAAAAAATTGTTTTGCCGAAAAACTGCGGTAATGAGTGGATTTTTTTCCGCAAAATGAATATTTCACGAATTTTTTGTTTTTGCTTCACCGTGCAAGATCAAAGCCTTCCAAAGTAACTTATGGACTTCTGCAGTGTAAGTAATTTTTACAGATTTTTTTCGGCTAGCTAGCGGCACTCTGCGATTTTCTGGCACCAAACTCAAAATTGCAAATTTTGAAGTCCCATATTTGAGAACTTCGTTCTCGGAGGCTAGCTCATGAAATCTTGCGCTTAAACATCCATCATGGAGCGCAGGCCTTCTAATATTTTTAGAGAACAAGATTGTGAATTTAGGTCTAGTCATTGAAAAGTTATTGAATTTTGTTTGAATTACGCAAGAACTTTCGAGCCAACCTAATATAGTAAACTGATTAAATCTCCAACAATTCTCAAACCGAGTGCATAATTGTCGTAAGTATCCATGATTCCTGACACAGGTACAACGCTCTCGCGGCTTGGCAGCAGCAAAAGTAAGAGAAAGGAAGGGGGGGGGGAGATAATATGCGCCAGGGAATATTGAAGTAAAGTTCAGTGATGTTTCCAGAACTATGGCAAATTTCCGTCAGGTAAATCCGTGAATATTTGAAAAAAAGATTCGAGCACAATCTTGAGGTCTCAATTTTTCCTGCCACTTGACTTGAGAATCAACTAAAACATTTCACAACCAGTCGTAAAAGCTGATTGATGGTTTCGTTCTGTTGCCTAGAAAGTTGGTGATAGGAGCTCGAGAAGCTATTACGTGTGTTTGATAAGAGCATAGGCTTAGGCTGATTACAGCCAACCTATAAAAGGAGATGCGGATAGAAATCGCGGCAGCGGCGTCATGACGCAGCTTCTACTTGTTCTGTTGACAGCATGTTTAGCTGTCGAGGCATTTGTGCGGTAAGTCATAGTTTTAATTTTTTCCTGAGAAATATTTTTTTTACAAAAAACAGGCTATTTTAGGGTTCCCATGCACAAAACCACCTACCCACGCAGTTCATACAAAATCGCTTCCATCGCTGAGTATCTGAAACAGAAGTACATCAAAGGATACAAGTTTGACTCTAATCTTGCTTATAACGAGGGTCTTTCCGACTACTCCAATGTAAGAGAATCTGAAAGAAAAATTTTGTTTGAATTTTACTGATGATTCAATGTTTAGGCTCAGTACTACGGCACTGTACAGATCGGTACACCACCACAGACTTTCCAACTTTTGTTCGATACCGGATCGTCCAATCTTTGGGTACCGTGCAAAACCTGCAAAGCTAGTGATATCGCCTGTGATTTCCACACAAAGGTGGGAATTTTCTTTAAATTTACTCTGGAATCGTTAATGAATATCTTGTTTGAGTTCGACTGCAAAAAGTCATCAACATGCACAGAGACCAATCAGCCGTTCGAAATTCAGTACGGATCAGGTTCAATGAAGGGAGTGGTCGACAATGATGTAGTCTGCGTAAGTTATACTTCTTATTTGCACCATATTGAAAAAATAATGGTCCGTTCAAGTTCGGTTCCGATCACACTTGGTGCACGGACAAGACCCAAGGACTGGCTTGTGCCACTCAGGAACCTGGACTCGCTTTCGTTGTGAGTTATACAAATTGCCTTTGAATTGTTAAATTTTTATAAGCCATGCTTTTTTAGGCCGCCAAGTTTGATGGAATCCTTGGAATGGGTTGGGATCGTATCTCTGTCAACAACATTCCTCAGCCAATGGACCAGATCTTCGCCAATAAGGTAGAGTTCCATGATTGAAAGAGTTTATGTTTTTAGTGTGAAATTGGATAATTCAGGCTCTTTGCTCCCAAGCTCTGTTCGCTTTCTGGCTAAACCGAGACATCAACAATAATGTTGCAGGAGGAGAGATGACACTGTGTGGAACTGATCCAGCTCATTACAAGGTTTGTGATGAGCCTCCATTCTTTTTTAAAGCAGGTCCGCCATTCTGAAGTTATAGGGTTCCATCGCCTGGGAGCCACTTGTGTCTGAAGACTATTGGCGCATCAAGCTCGGAGCCGTCACAATCGACGGGACCGCCTACACCAACGGACCAGTTGACTCTATCGTCGATACTGGTACATCTCTTCTCACTGGACCCACAGACGCGATCAAGAAAGTATGATCATATGCATATCCATGTTTTTTCAAAATTCTATTGGACTCCACAGATCCAAAAGAAAATTGGAGCTTTCCCAGTCGTCAACGGCGAGTACGAGATTCAATGCAGCCGCATTCCGAAACTCCCCAATATCACCTTCACCCTTGGCGGTCAAGACTTCGTCCTCCAGGGATCTGATTACATCCTTCAGGTCAGAAAAAAATTCCTGCTTAATATTGGCATAGAAAACTTGTTTAGGTGAGCCAAAACGGTCAAACCACGTGCCTCTCCGGATTCATGGGTCTTGATATCCCTGCACCAAATGGTTGGTTGAATTTTTTGTCCTTAGTTGCGCTATTAATAAATTGTTTTTAGGACCCCTCTGGATTCTTGGAGATGTCTTCATCGGAAAATTCTATTCCGTCTTTGATAGCGGAAAGAAACGAGTTGGATTTGCTGTTGCTGCTAACTCTAAGTAGTAGACGTATGGAGAAATTACAATTGATTCTGATAGTATGCTCTAGCGCGAATAAACGTGTGCAATCAGAGATTGATCGTAATTGGACCATCACTGAAGGACTGTGGATTGATGAATGTAAGGATGATTTCGACAAAAGCAACATAGCCTTTATGCTTTTTACATAGTTATATTTGATATATTCAAGTGACAAATATACCGGAAGTGGAAATTACGCCTGCGTTATGTCACAATATCATCGCCCGATGTTTTGTTTCCCAGCTACGGAGTTCAACTGCAATAATCTCGAAATTTGTGAAAAAAATCACCGCACTCCGCCGCTGTTCGCCGAACTTCGCGTTGCATCTTCGTATCTTGCTTCCGAGTGGAGAAGTTCTGAATCCAAAAGCACTATTTAACTCAATTCGACGAGAAACATCTTTCTTTTTGATTTATAGAAGTGCCTGTTTGGGCACGACAGTTGGTCAAATTTCAAGGATTTTTCCAGATTCTTGCCCGCGGTAGGTTTCACAGTGTTGAATGTTTGCACAACAATCATACCGTAAGCATAAGTTTGGAAGTGTGTTCAAAAATTGACCGACTCTCGTAACAAAACAGGCACCTGTATATATCAAAAAATGCATCTCTTCACGCTGAGTTGAATGGTACTTTTGGAATCAGAATTCGTCCACTCTGAGGCAAGATACCCAGTGCAAGAGAATGAGAAAATTTCCATGGAATAGTGCGTTTTGGTACGCAGATGTGGGCTCAGGTTTTGTAGCGTTCATTATAGTACAACGATATGTCGCGATGTCAACGGCAACAAAGCTTTAAGGGTCTGTGAATTAAAGAAATAACAGTTTTGGGAGTAAAGGCGTTTTAATGGTCAAAACTCTGGTCAAAATCCGGCCAGAAACTTCACACATTCAATCCGTAGCTGCTTTTTTTCTTTGCAGAATTGTAATTAAGCGAAAATGCAAGCATCACGGAGCACTCATCTGTCATGGCGAAGAAATGATGTACAATGTTCTAATGCTGTCGATTAGGCTTCGGCCTACGTGTTGACCACATTATTTTGAAGATGTTACTTGAGCTCCTAGGTCTTCCTATAAGTTTGTAGCGTTTTCGTGAACTAAAAACATGACAAAATTTTGTCATATTCAGTCGATAATGATGCCGGCCACATATGCCCCCCTCTTCGGGTTTTTGGCTGCTACTTTCCATTCCCTTTATGTGTCATTCTCTTCCTATCGTGTGGGTCTCTTCCAGTACTTCGAGCAGCTTTGGTGAGAGTAAAAATAGCTTCGAAATTCGTAATCTTATTGATGGAAAAGGCGAAACATGGAGATGAATAAAGTTTTATTTACAGAAGAAATATGATACATGCTAAGAGATTTATGAGATTGTAAAGCACCAAAGAGGATGGCCACTGATTATGAAACAAATGATGATTTGGTAGGTGCGCTTGCTTTAGCAAATTTCAGATCAAACCAATATTTCCTATCAAAGTATAAATCATCGACTTGCGTCTGGGATGCAATACCACTTTAATACATCGCATAATGAAACAAAATAAAACTAGAGCAATCACATGATATTTTGAATAAACAGGCAGGCACGATCACAGAATGGAGCAGTCACTTTAATCACTTCATTGCTCTTCTTCTTTCGAATCAGCAGAATTCGCATCTTCTTGAGAGCCGTTCCTGTCCACCAAAGGTCTTCTCGTTTTCCTCTTCGGCACTACGTCTCTGAAGAAGAGATCATACACCTAGTCGTATGAATCCAGATTTTCCATACGCCAACTTACCTCGAATCCGTATTTTCCCGAGATTTTTCCACAACACGGGAAGTTGTAGCGATGTTGCGAGGTCGCAACCCTTGAAATCACAACTTTGATAGAATTGTTAGCTACTGCAGTCTAGATTTATCAAGCTAACTACCATTACCGACAACAATAAGTTTTATACATTGTACTGAAGTAAAAGTAAAGCCTATGATTGAAGTGACGGGCATCATCTATGTTGTGCTACTGCGATGGCGACAACAATTACGCGTAAAATCAATTAAGCTATGGATTATGGATTCAAACATGAGTGAACACCTAATGAAAATAGTGGAACCTTTAAAGGTGATTAATGGTAGGTCAAAATTGCAAAATCTTACTTTCTTTGAGAGGTTTTTCCCGTACAGCGCGGAGTTCACGCAGCTCTCGTTCGAGACCCTGAAAATTTGAAGCTTGCACTTGATATGACAGTAGATAATACCGACCTTCACATAATTTTCCAATTCGCTTTCTTTTCTCTTTGAGGCCCTCAGCTGTTCTCGCTCCTGGCGTAGATCTTCTCTGAGTCTACTTTGTAAACTTTTGGCCACGAGTAATTGCCTAAAATTTTGTTCGTTTCAAGAAATGAAGGGTAGCTAACAAATCAACATGTAAGGCATACCTTTTTTGGATATTAAGAACGCTTTGCATTCTGATAGAGCCATCATCCGTCACAAGTCTACCCAGAACAGTCTCATCATCTCCTGCTGTGATGGTCTTGTACCTTAAAAGAATAATCTACTTGCAAGAAAAATTTACTTGCACCCATGAAGAACTCACAACTCGCAGGCCTGTAGCCGCCTTCTACTCGTTTCCAGGATTTTTTCCATCTCCTTATTCTTGGCACTCAACGAAGCGTTTTCTCTTGAGAGCTGAATGAATTCAAAAAAAACATTGATAACTGAAATTATAGCAAGATACCTCTGCATTTTTCAAATATTCCCTCATCACTGCATGAGCGTAAGCGTTTTTCAGATCTTCAAGCTCTTCTTCTTTGCGATGGAGACTGTTTTTTAACCCTCTCACTGCTTCTTCAGCAAGACGAAGGCGCTGAGAGTTAGGGCTAGTAAGGAGCGAACTGCCGTTGTGTTCGTCCGGATCGTCAAAATATAAGTGCTTCACGATTTCACCACTACTACTGGAGGCTCTACAGGTTGGACACGTTTGTGAGCACTAAAAATGGGCACAAATTATGTAAAAAGAATTATTGCTGGACATTTAACCCACTCTTAACCACTGCATAATGCAGTCGTAATGAAAAATATGCCCACAGTGCAAGGCTGAGATATTCTTCGTCACATATCCGTGCAGTTGCCGCGGACTTCAAACATGCTGGGCTTCTCTGTAACTAATTTTTCGAACCTTATGAAAAATTCTTGACAGCGGATTCACAGTGCCGATATTTGATAGCAACTTTTGACCGAATATCCATTAATTTATCAAATTGTAGGTTTTCCTCTCAATCTGCTTGCGATGTTGGATTCAGGATTTTGGGTGTGAGCAAATGGTACGCTTGAAATGTCTGCTAATTTCGCTCGCAACTAGCCGGCACATTTTTGGGGCGGAAAACCTGCTTGACAGTATTAAAATGTGCGCTAAGTTCGTTCGCACTTCCAAAGAATATTTTCAGAAACACTTTTTAGTGTTTACCTGCATTTGGAAGCTTTTCTTTTTCTCCTTCAAATATTTTGCTCCAATTGTAGAAGAAATTCATCATATTGTGACGCCTTGGAGACACTGTTCCTTACACTCTCCAGCTGGAAGTATGGGATTTATGCACAAAATGCCATGACTTCGAAAAAAAAACTCTCAGGAATGGTAAAAGCTTTTGTGAACTCGTGATTTTGAATGTAAACTCCATTGGACTTTAGCAATAATTTGTGTAAGTGACCCTGTGGATTTTTTGAAAGAATGGGCTCTAGTCACGACAATATCAATTTCAGTTTCTTTTGACTCACAGAATGCGGCCTAGTCAGAGTACTATCTAGGTGAGCAGAGCGAGTGAAAACATTGAGAAATTGCGTCGCAGAAATTTGAAAAATGGCATTCTAATAACGGAATTAAATTGAATACACTGAGTGTACCTTGATGAATAATTAGCCTGATTCTTTTCTATCAAGTCTTTAAATGAGTTTGATCAGCTAACAAGAAAGCACAGAAGGATAAAAAGGGATAGAATTATTTTCTATTTTGATTTCCAAAGGCGAAGTTTTTGGAGTCTTCAAAATTGTAAAAAAGCCGATGGAATTAGTGTAAGAGCCCCTAGAAGCATACTTATGGATTACCGGACAAGGGACAGGAGTAATAATAGAAAAAAATGCAGACGAACTTAGTTCTCAACCTACTAGTTCAAAAAATATTAGGTTGTTCCAAAAGTTTTGTCCGTTTTTTCAAACACTATAAAACCACGCACAATGAAGATCTGAATGAGTTTCGACATACATTCGATGCAGCCTTTCCTTCTCTTTCTTAGGGACATATCTTCGAACCACTCTTATTTGCTTTTTTGATAATTGACAAAATTCTTCACCTGCCAATTTTATCCGCTCAAAGTTAGGCTCATTTTCAAAAATTTCATTGTAAAGTTTCGGGAAGGGTAAAGTATGGATCAAATAGAGCAATTCTCAGACTACAAGTACATATTTTTAGATTCTCCTAATCTGCTGCTTTTAGCTTCAAAAAATGATTTCTTCGGAGGTCTCAATTTTTGGCAAAGTCATGAAACACGCAGTGCAGCAAAACACGAAATCTCTTAAAGTTTCTGCGAATTGAAACATGAGCCTTACTAAACACTATTTATGCAACATAAGCAAGTTCGATTTGCTTTGAAAAAGCAGCTTTTTGGAATTTTCGGTACCCTTACGTGGTAAATATAGTCAAAAAGCCGCGGTTTTCACCATGTAATCTAAAATGTGTACAATGTAGCCAAAGACTTGCTCTACATGATTGTTACTAGTGCTCTTTGAAAACATCAGGATAAAAATTTTTAAAATTCAAGAAAGATTTAGCGTTACTGTTGAGCTGCTCAAAAAGTCATAGCGATAACATTGCAAAGACAGCGCAGATCACAGAGCCAATATAACTGTAAGAAAGAGGATAAAAATCTGAATCAAAAAGTCGGAAAACAAGAAAATCTCGATTCCATAACGAGAATGTGAAGAACGTGTAGAGATGAATTGTAACGGTTGACTGTCCTGCGCTAGAATTTCGCGCCATTAGATTTCTGACCTCCACTTGATCAACGATACATCCCAAAAGTCACGAATAAAAGCTCAAATCTATTCAGCTCTAATGTTACTATGTTATTACCATTTTGCCATCGTAAGTCCTGCTATTCAGTTACCAAAATTTTATTCGTTTCTAATTTGCATCACCAAGATTTCGCACTCACCCCCTTGATTTGAACTTTTCTTTGGAAACTCTTCTATTTTTTTTTGCCAATGTGCTATCCATTTTGCAGATTTGCTGAAATTGACCGCAGTTATAAAAGTTATACAGCATTTGCTCAACCGAAGCTGTGCGTTAAATTAGATTGTCGTCAGATATTCTACTAATGTGAATGTTTTCCTTGCAATCGTCACCGCTCATGATTGGTCACAAGTGGCAAGATTTCTTTGATTATGCTTGGTATCGTTAGCTTTATCTTTTTTTGCTTATGTTTTGCCACCATTGGATTTCCGTTCATAATCTTTTTTTTCTGCAATAATCACCCCACTCTCAGCAGTTTTAGTTTTCTCCTACACGTACAGATATATAGGTTGTCCTGAAAGTTTTAGGTTTTTTCATCGTTCACTGAAACTCTCAGAACACCGTTTGATGGACGACTTGGAAATTGTCGAATTCAGATACTATTATCCTATATCTTATGGCTATATATCTCTCTTTGACCTATACTGTCTTTGCGATGTTATCGCCTTGGATCTTTGAGCAGCTCACTGGTAACGTCAGATCTTTCCAGAATTTTAGGAATTCTGTTCCTAGTTTTTTTTTTCGAGCAGCGCTGGTAACTGTCATGTAAAGTAAACCTGACTACATTTCACTCGTTTCAGATCGCATACTTCACGTTTATCAAGTCTGTAATAATTATTTACTTGAATAACCGCGACTTTCTAAACACGTTTAACGCACAGCAGTACCGAAAATTTCAAAAAACTGTTTCTTCAGAGCAAACTGATTATGTCGCGCAAATAATGCTTATTGATCAAGTTTCAACTCCTAAAAACTTCGGAAGCTTTCATATTTCTACTGCAATTGCGTGTTCCATGACTTTACCAAAAATCGAGAGAACTCCGAAAAATTAATTCTTTCAAGGCTAAACACAGAAAACAGGAAAATCTCAAAGCACCACCTTATAGTCCGAGTCTACGCTACCTAAATCATAGTTAATCCTTTTCCTAACTCTGGATTACAAATTAAAAACGCCGAACTTTGAACAGGTACAATACCGCTCACATTTTTTGAAAAAAAGACGCGAATGTATGGACATGTATGGACATGTCCATACATCAGCGTCGCGTAGCCATATCTCGCTTCAGAGTGGACGAATTCTGAATCCAAAGCCACCATTCGATTCAGCTCGGCGCGGAGAATCTTCTGATATATTGGAAGTGGGGTACGATGTCTACTATATTCCGTTTCCAGATTTTTCAAATTGTTCTGCGGAGGTCCTTTTGCGAATACATGAAGCAACGCCTACCCAGCATAGAAGACTTTGCTAAGTACTATTCGATAATAGTGTTCTTTTAGATTATTGTCCGCTACAAAATAGGCTCAGACTTCTTTCCAAAGGAGATAGAAGCGTTGGTGAACCTTGGAAAAATCACGCGTTTTTAAATTCTACTCGCCATAACTTCCTTCGGAATAAGTATATTTTGAATCCAAAAACAGCGCCTTGCTCAGCTCATCAAGGCGAATCTTCCTATACACAGCATGTCCTTGATATTTCGATTTCAGTATTCTTGAATCTTTCTGAGGACGTCTTTTCGCGAAGGTGTAAAGCAGCGAGCATTGCCTCGAGCAAAATCCAGCAAGGACCTTTCGACAGTACTTTTCCTGTAGATTATAATATGCTAAATAGTAGCCGCAGATTTCTTTTTAAAGGAAATAGAACGGCTAGTGAATTGTGGAAAAATCTTGTCGTCCCAAGTTCTACTCTCCATAGCCCTAGAATACGAAGCTATCTCGCTAAACAGATGTGAGTTTCGAAATCAGCAGGCCGGATAACCTCCGTGAGCAAGTTTTCCGACATGTTCGGGTTATTTCATTTTTTCTCGTTTTAGGCTCCGGAAGCTTGCCGATGGATTTTGGTCAAAATGTTGATGCTCGTGAATTGTAAGGAAACTTCGCTTATAGAGGTTTTCGAATACGCTCTTTACGAAAATCGTGGTCTTTGAGGATTACAGGGTCTTTTTGGAGAGATACGGTGAGGTGATTGTAACTGCGTCACGAAAGTGCGTAACTTTGCCCGCTTTTCTCGCGTATCTGTCAGAAACCTTGCCTGCTTGCTTTTCTCAGTCAAAGTTACTAGAAATTGTGCTATCGAATGGTGCATTACTCAGGCTCCAGTCTGTGAAATTCGCCGAGTTACGAGCCTACGAAAACATGTTCTCATGATTTTGCCCGAAATGTAAAGATCGCATATCGTCGAAATTCCTCCGTGAGTGCTTGTAGACGCTTGTTGCAGATATTATGTTCGCTTCGTCGAACGACTCCCACTGTACTGAATATGGTGCTTGCGTCTGCTTCAATTGCTCAGTTGAATATCAAATTTATTTCGTGGCTAGAACTCAAAGCACCAAATCTAACACAATAAGATTCATTAAAAGATTTCAGATACTTTACAATCTCAGAGCACGAATGTTTTCAAACGCAGAATCAACACACTTGATTTCTTACGTTTGAGGCATTCGGAGAATGAGTAATGAATAGCACCAATCCGTCATCTGTATTGCTATAGCTATGTGCGATTACATTATCCGACCACAAAATGCATACCAAATACAACCATCAATTTGTTTTTTTAAATAATATTTTCTTTCAAATGTCTTACTAACCCATTTCTTGCTATTACGTTAATTCAGGTCTAATCAATTTACTTCTCTTCCCAATCATTACAGCTTGTTGACTTGCTCTTAAATGAATTACAAAAAGTGAAACTATTTGATGTTCTTTCGGAGTCATTGGACTGTCCCTGGAATCATTTGTGCA